TACTCCCTTCCCTCTCTAATCTACTACTGCTTAAGTTGTTGCTAATTCAAAAGCCTTACAAAAAAACAGGGTATTTTTTTTGCTCTAAAGAGATAAGTAGGTGAAGATATAAATACTTTGGCCAACATGGAGAAAATTCAAAGTTTTTCAAAGTTTACTTTAAAGCTAAATGGATTAAAATTTTGAATTTTAAATTTTGACCTAATGTATGAATTATTGCTAGTTCAGAAGCCCCACAAAAAATGAATTTTTATTTCTGCAAGAGGCCAAAGTAGGTAAAGATATTTAGTCAACACGAAGAAGCTTCCTTTAGAGCTCAAGTTTTTGTTGTAGAGACTAGCTTATCATAGAAAAATAAGAAAAGTACAAACATTTAGAAACTACTTGTCCTCTTATGGAAAAAAATTCTTTTTTTTGCAAGGACTTTTAAACTAGCAATAGCTCAAATAGTTTCTAAATCCATTTATAATTCCACCCAGAGCATTCATGATCTTTGTGAAGCCATTAATACCTTGTATACTTTTTTATAATATAATCAAGAGAAAATGTTGATTATAAATGAATTAGAATTTAGAATCTCTTCCCTCTCTAATTTATTGTTGCTTGAACTGCTACTACTTTAGAAGCCCAAAAGAAAAGAAATTTTTTTCTACAAAATGAGAACTAAATAAACATCAATACAGAGGAAATTTAAGGTTTTCCAAAAAGTTTTCTTTAGAGCTTAAATTTTTTGTTATAGAGACCAATATTATTTCTTAGAAATTACATAAAATTCTAATTAGATTAGAATTTAAAATTTAGAATCTCTTTCCTCTCTAATCTACTACTGCTAGTTCATAAGCAACAAGTAAGCAAAGATATAAACAATTTGGTCAATATAGAGAAGCTTCTTTTAGGGCAAGTTTTTGTTATAGAGACTAACTTTATTTATTGATTATATCATAGAAAAGTAAACAATGTATTAATGGCTTTATAGAGATCACAAATACTTTAGATGAAATTCTAAATGGATTAGAATTCCTTCCCTCTTTGATATACTGCTACTTGAGTTGTTGCTAGTTTAGAAGCCCAAAAAAAAAAAAGTTTTTTTCTACAAAAGGAGAACTAAATAGGCATTAGCATGGAGGAAATTCAAGGTTTTCTAAAAATCTTCCTTTAGAGCTTAAATTTGTTTTTGTAGAAATAAATATTATCTCTTAGAAATTACATAAAATTCTAATTAGATTAGAATTTAAAATTTAGAATCCCTTCCCTCTCTAATATACTACTGCTAGTTCATAAGTGACAAGTAGGTAAAGATATAAACAATTTGGTTAGGGCATAAAGTTTTTGTTATAGAGACTAGCTTTATCTCTTGATTATATCATCGAAAAGTAAGCAAAGTATTAATGGCTGAATTCTAAATAGATTTAGAATTCCTTCCCTCTCTAATTTACTACTACTTAAGTTATTACTAATTCAGAAGCCCTCAAAACAAAAAGGACTTTTTTTTCCATAAGAAGACAAGTAACTCTAAGCATTTGTACCTTTTTTATTTTTCTATAATAATGTTGGTCTTTACAACAAAAACTTCAGCTCTAAAGGAAGCTTCTTTGTGTTGACCAAATATCTCTGCCTGCTTTGGCTTCTTGCAAAAAAAAAAACTTTTTTTTGTGAAGCTTCTGAACAACAACTCATAGATTAAAGAGGGAAGGGATTCAAAATTCAAAATTCAAAATTTTAATCCATTTAGAATTTTGCCTAAAGCGTTCCTAATCTTTGTGAAGACCTTCTTTGCTTTTCTATAATATAAACAACAAGAGCTTTAAAGGAAACTTTGAAAAACCTGAATTTCCTCCATGTTTGCCAAATTGCATCCTCTTTGCCACAAGAGGACAAAGTAAGTGGACAGGATAAAAAGAAAGTTAGCAAGAAGCACACAATTGTATCTACTGGTCGAGCTTGAAACCATGGGCTGCACCGCCTACGTGGCTGTTGCCTGCCTTCTAGCAGCTCTGGGAGGACTTATGTTTGGATATGATGTTGGGATCTCAAGTAAGCCTCAATTTCACTCCTTGGAAGATTTCTTGTCACTTCGTTTTTGTGCAGGTGGTGTCACCTCCATGGATGATTTCCTAGGAAAGTTTTTCCCCAGCATTCTACAGAAGAAGTTGCGGCTTGTTGGAAAAGAAGGCAACTACTGCAAGTTTGACGACCAGGGCCTGCAGGCATTTACGTTGTCGCTCTACCTTGCGGGTCTGGTGGCCACCTTCGCAGCCTCGTACATGACGCAGAGATTCGGTCGGAAGCCAGCCATGGTGATCGCGGGACTGTTTTTCATTGCTGGGGTGGTGTTCAACGCTGCTGCAGAGAACCTGGCCATGCTCATCATCGGGCGGATCCTTCTCGGCTGTGGCGTCGGCTTTGTCCCGCTCTACCTCTCCGAGATTGCTCCCAGTCGTTACTGGGGTGGCCTCAACATTCTCTTCCATGACGATCGGCATCCTCATCGCCAACCTCATCGGCAAGCTCCACCCTTGGAGCTGGCGGCTCTCACTCGGCCTGGCTGGGATCCCCGCGGTGCTGCTCACGGTCGGAAGCCTGTGCCTGTGGGAGACTGTCCAGATGGCAGTTTTGATCACCTGACACGTGTCACTCCACGTGGATAGTGGTGTCCGATGTAATGAATGTGGCGTGTTCTCTTCCCTGCTAGAGACTCTGTTCTGGGATGAGGACTCGGCTGACAACTCATCTCTCCCTTAGCTACGTCGCCGCCCCCATGGCCACCGCATTCGGCCGCTGCCTTATCGCCGCCCTGGTGCCTTCAGTCGCAACGACAGCGCCGTGCGATGGCCTGGGCCAGTCGCCCCGCCCGCAGCCAGGGCCGCCACTAGCCAAGGAGCTCGCCAACCAGCAGCTGGTGCTGGGCGCTGGGCTGGGCGATGCGATGCCGCTTCAGCTGGGCGCTGGGCGCTGGGCGCTAGGCTGATGCGAGCCACAAGCACAAAGATCCTGCAAGATAGAAGCTCGATCGGCCTGGAAGCTTAGGCTAGAGTAGATAGAAGTGAATAGATAGAGCTTTAGCGTAGTCCAGAGATCAGAGATCGATAGAGCTAGCGAATATAGACCCGGCCCCGGCGCCTATAACCAGCTCTCCGGCATTCTCTCTCTCGGGCAGGCTTCGCCGACAAGTGGGCGAGAACATTCCTGGTCCCGGATCTTACGGACACGCAGGGGATTCGAATCCATGGCAAGCTCAAGACTCTGGGCAGGCCAGACTCTCCCGGTCCGGGGGCGTATGATTCAAACTGGAGAACTGGAAGTCCATGGCCACCTTAGTACTCCCTCGGCCCAAGGACTTTCTCAGAGGACACCCCGGGGCCCGGAGCTTATGGTCGGGGAAAACAGCCTTTGGCTTGGAGTCGTCGGTGACGGGAACCAAGGACCAGGCACCTACGAGCCCAACACCATAGATAGAGGTTAGAACGCAGTCCAGAGATTGATAAAAAGATAAAGCCATGAAGACCATATAGAGGTTATAGATCGTTATGGCGTTTGCTCTCTTTCTCGCTAGTTTATATTGACTTCCAAGGTTCAATAGTTCGCTGATAGTAGCACCAAGGTTGAGCAGCTCACTTATCTCGTTACCATTGCAAAGACCCCGTGTGGAAGAAGTGTGCGCATAGCATGATGGCCATTCTGGAATACTCGCGCAGCATCCCAACATTGTCATGAGAACGCCGAGCCCGAGTCGGAGAACGAGACGCAAAAGGGAGACGACTATCCCGGCCAGATTCGCGTCTGGGGGAACATTGTTGGGTTCGTGGAGCGGCTGGATGACGAGCTCTTCAAGAGCTTGCAAGTGATCGATCCGCACACCAAGGACTATGTCTACCGCATGAAGGACGAGCCAGCCTTCTTGGTGGTGGCACAGAGTGTTCAGGAGTACGTGGAGCGCATTGGAGATACGAGAGCCGCCGCTCGGGTGGCACTTCGCAGGCTGGAACACGTCTACTACAAGCCTCAGGAGGTTTACGAGGCCATGAGAAAGCTCGGGGAGAGCCAGAAGACGGCGGAGGCTGGTGCGGAAGACAGCACGCTGGTTCTGGGAACGCCCGACCTTCCGGAACTCAGTCGGACTATGATGGACGAGCGCACAAAAGCCAGGGCCATGCTATGCGACATCTATCACTACGCCATCTTCGACGCCAGATCCTGTTCAACAGAGCTATGGCGCAGCTGGGACTGTGTGCCTTCCGGACCGGTCTCATCACTGAAACGCATGCGTGCCTGTCGGAGTTCTATGCCGGCGGACGGGTGAAAGAGCTCCTTGCACAAGGAGTTCAGCAGAGTCGGTTTTACGACAAGACTCCAGAACAGGTGATTGTTTTCATAGTTTTGTGTTTCTTCTCAACTTGTGAGGTGGTTTTCTTGTGTAGGAAAAACTCGAACGCCGCCGCCAAATGCCGTTTCACATGCATATCAACCTGGAGCTACTGGAGGCGGTCCATCTAATATGTGCAATGCTGCTGGAGGTTCCCAACATGACCGCCAACGCGCACGACGTGAAGAAGAAAGTTTACAGCAAGACGTTCCGCCGTCTCCTGGACATCTACGAGAAGCAGGCCTTCATCGGGCCCCCAGAGAACATCCGTGACAACATCATGGCGGCGAGCCGGGCTCTGATGAAGGGCGACTGGGAGAAGGCGGTGGCGATCGTCCAGGGCCTAGATATCTGGAAGCTGCTCCGGAAGCGAGAGTTCGCCATGGACATGCTCAAGAGCAAGATCCAGGAGGAGGTGCTGAGGACTTATCTCTTCACGTACGCATCGTCTTACGACTCGCTGAGCCTGGACCAGCTCATGGCAATGTTTGATCTCCCGGAGGGGCTCGTTCACAGCATCGCCAGCCGGCTCATGGCAGCGGAGGAGTTCCACGGCAGCTGGGACCAGCCGACTCGCTGTCTTTACGTGCATTTTTAGGGTTCTTCCGGAAATCCAGGGTCCTTTAAATTTTTAGGGTTCTTCCGAAAATTTTGGAATGGAGCGTGTTCTTAGCTATGGCGACGTCCTCCTCCGCCGGTGCGATGTGGAGCTCCTCCGTCCCCCGAATTTCATCAACGACCACATCATCGACTTCTTCTTCTCCTATCTCTCCTCATCGGGAAGCAGCGATGTGCTCTTGGTAAGCCCATCCACGAGCTTCTGGATCACGAACTGCGCCGACGCGCGAGATCTGGCACCGGCGCTGGCGGCGCTTAATCTCCGCGACCGGCAGATGCTGCTCCTCCCGATCAACAATAGCGCCGATGTGGAGTATCGCTCGAGCCATGGGAATCTAGAGCGGGGCAGCCACTGGAGCCTCCTGATCTTCCACAGGCCCAGCAATTCGTGCCTCCATTTCGATAGCCTGGACGGCGCCAACGATCGCTACGCCCGATCGCTCCATGCCAGGGTCTCGGAGCTTGTCGGCAGCGGCTCCAAGCCCAGATTCGTGAGCGCCGCCACACCGCAGCAGGAAAACGGGCATGACTGTGGGGCGTACGTGATGGCCATCGCCGCGGCGGTGAAGAAGGGGTTTGAGAGCGATGTGGAATGCGATGTGGAGGAGATTGTGAAGCGCGAGGTGAGCTCCGAGTCTGCGAGGAGATTGAGGGCGAGCACGCTGGATCTCATCGATTCTCTGCGCCGGGAGGAGGCGATCAAGGCATAGAGTTTTAAGTTCGTAGAACTTCCAAGTCTCTCTCTTACACTGGAAAAAGCTGGCTTCTTTCATGGATGGCACTTGCATGCTACTAATTGCGGTAAGCTCTTGGCTTTCTAAAGCTTCTTTGTTTTTCCAGAGTGTTGGTGGGAGAGATTTGGTCGTGCCTTTCACTCCGAGAAGGTCAACACACATATCAACTGTTGATGCTATTTACCTGGATTGTTTTGCAGAGATCGATGCTCATCCTGTTGAAAGTGATGCAAGGAGTAAACGATCCCACTGTGAACAGCTTTCGTCCAGTAGAAACAGGGCAAGCTTGCGTCATTCTTTCCTGCGTAGTGATTGCAAGTGTGATCCTATCGATTTCCCAGTTTTGTGACAAAGCAGTTTGAAGATCTGAAGCATCACAGTAGAGGAGCAAGAGCTCAAGCAGCTGGAGTGTTCGAGGAGGAACGATCTCGCTCGATTACCTGCTTGTGTTCGTGCGTCTCCTCCACTATCAAGAACATTATCGAGGATGGGACAGAGTCTCAAAGTGTAGTACGAAAGTGTTTGAAAATGGTAGACGAAGCTCTAGTGGATCCGTGATTGACATCCAAAGTTCCAAAAGGACTTGGAAGTTGATTGTTCAAACAAGAGCATCTCTGGCTCTAGCACGTTTAATCATTATCAAAGGATCATCTGGCTATAAAAATCGCAGTCCCTCCCACAAAACTGTATCACCAGTGGCTGGAATCGCTTTAATGTGATGGTCCTGGAGCCTATCCGATCAACAATGAGCTTAGATCATTCCTCCAAGGGAGTGGAAACTGACTCGGACTTTGATCCGCCAGACTTCCACAGAAGTTTCTGCGATGTGATCCAGGGGAGAGCCCTGGAAGTAGAAGGTTCTGGCACGCAATAGCGCTAGAATTACTCAGTCAACCAGGAACGTGAATAGAAAAGGAGAGCTCTCTTTAGCGGCCTTTAAATGCCCGTGATCTATCAATGGTTTCTCCACTCCCAGATCTCAGGCTTTTTGGATCTCACACACCATCCACAAGCAAAGAAGAAAATGGAGAGCTACCAGCGATCTCTTCTCGTTGCTCTCATCGTCTTGATCGTGATCTTCGCTCCATCGTCGCAGGCTAGAAAGCTCACTTTCAGCAAGCTTCCCAAAGGCACCACTTATCCTCCCGCTGGACCGAGCAATCCACAAAATCCAGACGGCACCAAGCTGCTCGAGGTCCGGACGCTTCCAAAGTACTCGATCCATCCACCGGCGGGGCCGAATCACGTCCCCCCCGCGACACACAAAGTTCCAACTTTCCACAAGCTTCCGAAGTCTCAGCACACTCCATCGGCAGGCCCGAGCAAACCAAGAGTCTGACTCGAAAGAGCCACTGGTTTTCTTGTAACAAAATGTGTATTGCACGGAATGCTGTTAAACCACTTTCCTGTTTCTATCGATCTAGTAGTAGAGAGCATTAATCTATCGAGGCTCAGCATGAAGCACGACTTGATGGCTGGGTCAGCAAAGTTTCCATCCTTGGTCGAGAAGAACTTAATGTCGGCGAATGATAGGAAGCTGGAGAGAAGCTCACTGAGTATGCGCTTGACTCGAAGGTAGGCATTCTTGGAGTAATCCAGCAGCTGCGTGAGGAAATCCACCAGGTTGGGGTTGCCGTGTGAGATGCAGCACTGGCGAGCGAAAAAGTCAAGGAGTTTAAGAAGAAGCTCCAAGAGAATGGTGAGTGTGTGCGTTTAAGCTTGTTCCACTTTGCTCCACGTAGCGGATCAGCTTCCAGGCCGATCGAGCTTCTATCTTGCAGGATCTTTGTGCTTGTGGCTCGCATCAGTCTAGTGCCCAGCGCCCAGCTGAAGCGGCATCGTATCTCCCAGCCAGCGCCAAGCACCAGCTGCTAGTTGCCGAATGCAGAGGCCATGGCAGGGCGACCAGCCATGGTGGTGGCAACGTATTGCTAAGGGAGAGATTACCTGTTGGCAGCTGAGTCCTCCGGGGTGTGCTCATGGTTGTTGTGTGCCTTCTCCTCCCAGAACAGACTCTCTAGCAGAAAAGAGGAAAAACACTATACAGAGCACATTCATTGTACTCCTTTTGCATTGGACGTGGATTGCCATGTGTCAGATGATCAAGACTGCCATCTCAACAGTCTCGCACAGGCACAGGCTTCCGACTGTGAGCAGCACCGCGGGGATCCCAGCCAGGCCGAGTGAGAGCCGCCAGCTCCATGGGTGGAGCTTGGCGACGAGGTTGGCGATGAGGATGCCGACGGTCACGTTGAGCTGGAAGAGAATGTTGAGGCCGCCCCAGTAACAAGTGGGAGTAATCTCGGAGAGGTATAGCGGGACGGCCTGGTTGGCAAAGCCGACGCCACAGCCGAGAAGGATCCGGCCGATGATGAGCATGGCCAGGTTCTCCGCAGCAGCGTTGAACACCGCCCCGGCGATGAAAAACAGTCCCGCGATCACCATGGTTGGCTTCCGACCGAATCTCTGCGTCGTGTACGAGGCTGCAAAGGTAGCCACCAGACCCGTGAGGTAGAGCGACGACGTGAACGCCTGCACGCCCTGGTCGTCATACTTGCAGTAGTTGCCTTCTTTTCCAACAAGCTGCAGCTTCCTCTGTAGAACGCTGGGGAAAAACTTTCCCAGGAAATCATCCATGGAGGTGACACCACCTTGACAAAAACCAAAAAAAGAAATTTTATCCATAGGTCACAGTAGAAATCTTCGAGTGCTTACTTGAGATCCCAACATCATATCCAAACATGAGTCCTCCCATAGCTGCTAGAAGGTAGGCAATAGCAACGTAGGCGAAGCCGGCCATAGTTTTGAGCAAGAGCTAGCTGCTTATAAAGCTTAAAGGATCTCTAATGTCAAACAATGGACCCATCTCAAACAGAGAACTTGGTAGATTTCTGACTCTAGCACAATCTTTGGTGTTTACAAAGGCAGATGCAAACAGATTCTTATTGAATGCACTTGAAAAAGGTTGAGTATGGATGTATGCATTTTATGATACATGTGGCAAATTTTGGTGAGGTGTGGAAATGTGTGGATAGCAACTAAAAAGAATGAAAGGTTCAAAAAAATAAGGCTTATGAATAAAAATGCAAATTTTTTTTCTGAACAGTTAAAAGTCTTGGAATATTAATAGTGAGAATTCTAAATATAAAAACTTAAGAAATGTAAAAAGAGAATTCAGATTTAGAAGAAATCAGATAAAAAGGGGGCTTAATAAAGGAAATTGTACAGTGAACTTTAAACTATTTTTGAACTCACGTTTGACCACTAACAATAATCTTTTATTTGTTTATTTTTCAAATTGCTAGATTCTTACATGAGTGCAATAGAATTTGCAAAACATGTATCTAAATAGCTAGAGGATTAGTTGCAAATTGCAAGTTATGAATAAAGTGCCATTTTTTTCTTGGTTAGGAAAATTTTTTAGTGATCAGGATTTCTTAAATCTTGATGTGGAGAGACTGGTGGGTAGACTCATGTTTTTCCCAATCACCACTCACAGTTTCCACTCCTTTCTTTATCTTGGTGGCAATGGATGTTGTGTCCACAGAGAAAGTATTTCTTTGTCTTCTTTCAGACTTCCATGCCCATGACCTCCCAGCATTTATGGGGAACATGACCACGGCAGCAACGACCACTCTTTATCAAAGACCACTCCTTATCTACGTGGCATGGAAGATTAGAGGGAAGCAACATGCCCCCACTTCCTAGACAGAAACATTTAGGAAATACTTGAATGGTAACTTTTTCTCTCCTCCCCTCCTACTCAAAAGTCCTATGCTCTCACTGGGCAACTATAAACACATCTATCCAGGATGACCACCACCTTGCTCTTTGTTGTGTTTTAATGAAAGAAACTTTTCATTCCAGAGCTCTTCCAACGAGAATGTGATGGTCCTGGAGCATATCCGACCAACAATGAGCTTAGATCATTCGAAGGGAGTGGAAACGGATTGGGACTTTGATCCAGATCCATGCCAGACTTCCACAGAAGTTTCTGCAATGTGATCCAGGGGAGAGCGCTGGAAGTAGAAGGTCCTGGCACGCAATAGCGCTCGAATTGCTCACACGGAACCAGGAACGTGTATAGAAAAGGAGAGCTCACTTTAGCGGCCTTTAAATGCACCAATGTTTTCTCCACTCCCATATCTCAGGCTCTCACACACCATACTTTGCATCCACAAGCAAAGAAGAAAATGGAGAGCTACCAGCGATTGATCGTGATCTTCGCTCCATCGTCTCTGGCTAGCTACCTTCCCAAAGGCACCACTTATCCTCCAGACGGCACCAAGCACCCGGACGCTTCCAAAGTACTCGATCCATCCACCGGCGGGGCCGAATCACGTCCCCCCCTCGACACACAAAGTTCCAACTTTCCACAAGCTTCCGAAGCCTCAGCACACTCCATCGGCAGGCCCGAGCAAACCAAGAGTCTGACTCGAAAGAGCCATTGGTTTTCTTGTAACAAAATGTGTATTGCATGGAATGTTGTTAAACCACTTTCCTGTATCTATCGATCTAGTAGTATGCACAAGAAGAGAGAGCATTACTCTATGGCGAGAAATGAAAGTACCTGTGACTGGAAGGAGGAAAGATCTCTTTCTTTTCAGGCAGCCGACGCTCGCTTGAGCAGCACCACCGAGAGAACGACGAGGCTCAGCATGAAGCACGACTTGATGGCTGGGTCGGCAAAGTTTCCATCCTTGGTTGAGAAGAACTTATTGTCGAGGAAGCTGGAGAGAAGCTCAGTGAGCATGCGCTTGACTCGAAGGTAAGCATTCTTGGAGTAATCCAGCAGCTGCGCGAGGAAATCCACCAGGTTGGGGTTGGGCTGATCACTGGGGCGTGTGTGCTTGCCCCCCTCCTGTATGACCTCGCCATCGCCAGCTACAAAGCTCTCGTATCCTGGAACGGAGCTACGTGGAGCAAAGTGGAACAAGCTTAAACGCACACACTCACCATTCTCCTGGAGCTTCTTCCTAAACTCCTTGACTTTCTCGTTCGCCAGTACCGCATCCCACACGGCTTTGTCACTGGCGACCGACATCACGACCCCCTGGAAGAAAAATGTCACCACTGAGTAAAAAAAAGAAGAATAAAAAACACTTACTTGAACGATAGGATCGTTCTGGAGCAAACTAAACGCCTCGGCAACCTCGTTCCTTCTACAGACTTGGACGTTGCCAGGCTCATGCGACACCAAATGCGGCTCGATCCAATCCACAACCGGGTGACCGAGATGAACACTGCTTGGCCCTCGAATGCTCGAAACCGGGGAGTCTTGCTGCAAAGCTGGAGTTGGAAGTCCCTCTCCAAAACACCTTCCAGAAAAAAAACGAAAAAAATTTCTTATTTTTTACATCAAGGAAAAGAACAAACTTACATGCCAAGCGCATTCTGCAAATCCGCGGTAGCCTCCTCGACCTCGTCCCGCGACGGCGCCGCTCCAAACACCAAATGGTCGCGGACGAAATACTCGGATCGCTCCTCATCTCCCGCAAACACCCAATCATCCGCCACCGCCGCGCGGAGCGGCAGCGCGGCGGCGCTGCTGGCGCTGGCACTGCCCATCATCACCGACTGGGGCACGCTCGAAGATGTCGCTGCCGCCGCCACCGCTGCTAGACCCACAATCGGAGGCCTGGTGACGGCCTTAGCCACTCCCCGCAGTAGAATCCCTCCTCCCATCGCTCTGACCTCGCCCTCGCGCGCCTTCTTTTAGAAACAAGCTCCCTCTCTCTTGTTTCTTTCTTTTTAGGGCTCTTATAGATGAGAATATCCCCTGACGAGATTATCTCGCCGACTGAACGCTGACGCATAAATTTTAACACCGTGTGAGTTTATATACTGGTTAAGGTAGCTAATAGAAGGATCCAGCTTTTTGTCCCTTTTTTTATTATAATTACCAGAAAACTTGAATCACCACACAAGAGCCGTTAATTTAGGGCTCTTCCTCAAGGCGCCCTAATCTTGGAATAATGGCTGGGCGGATGCTCCAGCGGGGGCGACGCCGCGCGCGGCTCCTCGTCGCTCTTGGATTTCTCCTATTTTTTGCATTCGATGTCGCTAGGCGCTACCGCCAGCTCTCGATCTCCCAGGTGAGTGAGATTTTCTTCTAGTCCTGAGAGGGCGATCGGGGTGAAATGCAGGCTAGATCAAGGCCTGTGACGAACACTCTCGAGGAATGCCGCAAGTTTGTCACTCCCGCGAGGCTAGCCAAAACTCTGGTGGACATCACAGCAAGAAGCTCCGAGGTTCTTGCTCTATGATCATGCAACCGGTAAGTGTTGTAGAGATTTATTCCTTGTTCTTGATCCGTAACAGGGAGATTCACCTCCGCGTGTGGCGCTCTGCCTGTATGGCGAAGCCAGACAGTTTGAGCTCACAGGACTGAGCCTCAAGAACTACGTATTGGACGTGCTGCCCGACGCTCACGTCTTCCTTCACGCGCCCCTGGATCGCGATTCATACAAGCTGGAAATCCTCCGCGGTGTAAAGTCACGCTTTGCAAAGGCAAGGCTGTTCACGCCCGCGAGAATTCCCGAGACCAACGTCCTTCGAGAGGTTGTCGGGGCGGAAGGTTCTTCTCATGGTTTGCAAGGCCTGCTACATTTTTTCCGCTTGATCGAGGGGTGTGGAGACTTGGTCACTGACTACGAGCGCAAGCACGAGTTTCTCTACGATTGGATCATCAAAGTGAGGCTGGACAGCTACTGGACAGATCCGATTCCAACCAAGTACGAGAGAGGTGTCTACACCATTCCATTCGGGAACAACTGTGGAGGAGTGAACGACAAGCTTGGAGTGGGTGATCGAGCCACTGCCATGGCCACAGGACTCAAGCTCAGCATCCTTCCGGCTCTCCATGCACAGGGCGATCGTAACTTATGGCCGGAAGCTCTTTTCGAGTCTCACTTGGAGCTCCAGCGAATTCTAGCAGTGCCGACCAACTTTTCCTTCTGCCTCATCGATCATAGGAAGTGGCCGTGGCCTCCAAAAGGTTGGCATCTATCAGTGCCTTCCATCTCCAGCAAGGGACCTTTGAACGGGGCTTACTGCAGGCCTTGCAATCCCAAAGTATCAAGCCTGGAGCGCTCGTCAGCGATTGTGGAGTCGCTGTGCAAGAGGTCCGGATGGTTTCCTACAGATGGAATGGAGAAGCTAGAGTTGTGTGATGCGTCAAGCCTGGAATGGGAGCGAGGCTGGGAGGCCTTGTTCGATTCGGCAGCAGGACAAGAAGCTGCCAAGACGAGAGAAAAGTTTGCCGGCAGCAAGCAACTACAGGATTGTGTTTTGCAGGCTTCTCTTTTCCAGAAGCGTTGGGAGATATGGGACGGTCCATCGCCACAGCAAGTTTGTAGCGTCAAGTCTGGAAATCCATGGCCAAAGTCATCACCAACAAGCTCTTAATCGTCCCAGAATGTTGGAAGCAGTGGCTCTCCTCGCGTGGCCGAGCCTGTGGCTCTCTCACGTTTTCATGATTCCAATCTATACATGATTTCTACCGTGTTCTTGTTCTTGGTGGTGGTGCTGTTGCTTGGCCCTCCAAATTTTTGTTTGGGGCTTCGAGGCAGTGGCTTTAGCTGCTCCAAGCCTTCGTCTAGCGCCGCTTCCACCACCGCCACCTCCACCGCCACCGCCGCCGCCGCCGCCGCTAGTACTGTGCTGATCTTCCCACTGTCTGAGAATCTCTACGACCGAGTGGTGACAATAATAAACCGCCACGTCCAGTGCTCGGTGTCCATACTCATCCGGGATCTCCACGGACGCCCCCGCTGCGAGAAGATTGGTGACAAACCACACCGAGGCTCTTCGCGCAGCTATGTGCATTGCGGTCTGACCATGCCTGTTTTGCGCGTCCAAAAGCTTTGTGGCGGGTGAGGAGGAACTCGACGAGGATCTGCTAAAGTTGTAGCCGCTCGCCAGCAAAAGAGCTTTTCCAACGTCTTGCCTGTCCGCCACCGCTGCCGCCATGAGAGGAGTCCATCCATCACCTGGAAAAGAAGAGGAAACATGGCGTTTAGCTACAAAGAAGGGAACTCTGGAAAAGCTTACCATATAGTTTCACGTCTTGCCAGTTCCATCCCCGCGTCGCACAAAAGGCGAGCATCACTTCGACCACGTCACAGTGGCCCTTGAGCGAGGCAATGTAGATGGGATTCTCTCCACCGCGGTTCTTTGCAAACATATCAGCGCCACCTTCTAGCAGGAGCTTGCAAACTGGAGCGTGGCCAAACTCAGCAGCCACGAACAGCGGTGTAGCTCCTGACGAGTCCAAAATCCCTCTAGGTGCAGCACCGATGTCGATGAGGCATTTTACCGAGTGAGCTTCGCCCTGGCATGACGTCCAGTGAAGAGGCGTCCGGCGACGGATATCCGAGCAGTTTGCAGCGGCACGGAGTGCTAGAGCAACGTCCTCGCGAATGTCTTCCCAGTTGCTTAAGATTGGAAGGTCCGGGCTCTTGATACTGCTTCCTCTCAAAAACCACACAGCTGCCGTGACCGATTGTTCCTCACAAAAGTTCCAGACTTGTATTAAATTAAGAAGCTCCTCCCTGCAAATGGAAGTGAACACTCCATTGAAGAGAGAAAGGAAAAAAAAAACGTACCTCACTGCATGAACAACCGGCTGTGTAAAGAAGGTGAGCTCCAGCATTTGGAGCTTCTTAAGAGAACGAGCAAAGTCCACAAGAGTTATCGTAGCAATAGAGACTCTCTCCTCCGAGAGGTTCTCTTCTCTAGACAACCCCAAGGCCTCGACCGATCCTCCCAAGAACATAAGCTCCACCAAAGGACATGTTGCGGCCTGAAAAATCAACCATTGCTGCAAGGACAAAAACAAAAAACAAAAAATCTTACCACCGCTGCCAGCTCAAATGTTCCAAGGCCACCGCAATTGTGTAGAGCCAGAATTCTCAAAGCAGATCCCAGACTCCCAAATGAATGAGGGAGCTCATATATATGTTCCTCCTCGATGAGAGGAGACTCCCTGGGAAGTTCCAATCTGTCGAGGTGACTAAGAAGAATACACCGTAGTCGAGAGCCATCCGCGGCTGCGGCAGCCAGCAAGTTTCCAGCCGCTGTCGGTCCAATTCTAAAACATCGCTGTAAGCTGAGAGCTCTCGGTCCCGATCTCACCGACACTGCCAAGGCATCTATCACAGAGGAAGTCCTGCAGAGACCAAGACGCGTTAGAGAAAAGAAAGATATTCTAAACCTACGTACAAGCTACGTAGAGAATGAGAAGGAAACTTACAACTTCTGGCAGCTGTCGAGAATGAGGCAATGCAGGTTCCGGAGATAGCCGAGTAGAGACGCAACGTCGTCGTCCATGATCGAGCAGCCAGTCAGATCCAAAAGTCGCGTGAGTGGCATCCGAGCTCGGATCATCGCCACTGCCGCGCGCTGCCACGCTCCAGGACTAAACTTGAGCTCCTTGTCCTCGAGCATCCCCGGCACCAGCCGCAGCTCCCACGAGACCGTGGCCACCAGAGCCTTGAATTGCCGACAGGCCGATAAGATGGAGGCCAGGTGAACGGGGTCGGAGATCCTGGACAGCACGTCCACCAAGAGACTGGTTGGCAAATCCATGAGCTCTGTAGGAACAGAGTCCTCCTGGGAAGAATTCGCTACCTCCATCCCACAAGAGAAATCTTCAGAAGGAGAGGAAGAATCCCGTGGCGGCGGCGGTACCGTGTGCGTTGGACCAGCGCGGCGAGCAGTAATCTCTCAGGTGACCATGAGAGCGCCAAGACCTTCTACCGCTGCCCAGAAGCGCGCATCTAGATCTGCCGCGGCGCAGGCACAGCAGCCTACGCGATTTGAGGCGCAGCACCAGACGGCGGACTCCTCCTCCCTGACGAGACATGTAAATCCAGTTCGAGAATGCGGCAGCGGCACCGAGATCGCTCCTTACCGGGCATTCCACAGCCAAACGCGCCTTGCTCGAGCCCTAATTCGAGAGTTAGGGCTCTTGGCTAGCAATGCGTTAGTATATTCCGTCAGTCCACATTTGCAGAAAGAGCAGCGGTAGTGATATCGCGCAAAGAATTGCAGCCATGATCCATCGCGAGCACGTCCCAAATCCTCATGCAACCAAGGGGAAGGACATCCGAGCCATGAACACGAAGGCTCCTAAAATGTGAGCGTCTTGCTCGCATCTCCACAAGATTAAACACATGAATCCTCGCTCCCGCAGCTCCCGTTTGCTTGATTCTTCCTTTGATGCTGGAAAGTTGTCCGAGCTGACTTAGACTACAGGATAGAGCCTCTCAAGATGAAAGTGGAGAAACGTATTGTAAGCTCATGCTTTTCGCTCGTTTCTTTCGCTACCAAGGTCCACCTCTTCTCTTCTTTTGGAAGCTCGCGTCCATGCAGGGGCCAACGACAGACGATTTTATGACTTATGATTATTGATTTTATGACAGTACGCTGACGACTGGATAAAGATGAACAACACCACCAGCATGACAGTTCGTCCCCCCTGGACGACCAAGAAAGTGGAAGCCCGCTCCGTAACCCCTCGCCGGAGGAGCGCTTCGTCACGTCCAAATTCAAAGTCGCTCCACCACAAGATCGACAACGTCCAGACCTTTTGGTACGAGAAGACGCCTCTGGAAGCGACAGCGGCACGAGAGCTCATGGCCGAGCCAGTAAGAGCAAGTTAGTCTCTGCACCACAAGACTATCAAAACAAGATAGATTTATATCTCATTCCGGCCGTGCGCAGCAAGGAGTGCTTGCTCTGTGACTCGCGCCTTGAGCCCCGCCCTCGACATCTCTGCAAGCTTTTCCTCTTCCACCCATCGATCAAGGCATTGTCGGTGCGGATGTCCAAGACATCATCGTCCATTTCGTCCAGCGCCTACTCCATCGCCCCTTCGCTTCATACATAGACGATGTTGGCAGCCTTGACAAGCTCGGCCTTCCCGGGCTTGGATCGCTTGATCAAGCAGCCTCCATCTTTCTGAAAGAAGAGCTCTCGAGAAGTCCGCCTCGAGCTGGCACGACGAAGCATAGCTCCAGATCTCGTCCATCCGAAGCTCTTCACCATCAATGTCCAGGCCGAGACGTCCGGAGCATTTCTCCACCCTTTGGAAGTCCTTCCTTCTCCCGTAGATGCCCACCGTGAGACCATATGCCTTTGCGTCGAGCTCCTCCGTTGAGCAGCTTGAGCAGCAGTTTCTGACTCGAGCGAGCTTCGCTCTCCTGTGAGCGTCCGGATAACGTTTGTTCCAACGCCGCTTTTCGAGCGGCTGCCATGTCAGCGCCTTGCCATAGACTTCATCGCGCTAAGTGCTAAACATGTAGCGGAAGAGGCCCTCCATGTTTGCGAGCATGTCTGCTTTGATCACCAAGCCGAAGCTTCACATGGAGGAACCTCTGCGGTGAGTGTGGATGACTTGAGCTCTCTGCGAAGTTGGCTTTGTTTCTTCACAAAGAACATCCATGAACGTGGAGCGCTCGCTTCTCGGCGACCCTCCTTGCTTGTCTGGAAAAAATACCGAAGACTTCAGCCAGGTATGGTGGTGTCAAAGAGTTATAGGAGAGTATGGGGATGATCCCAACCTGGTGAACCAGTGGAGGAGAGGCGAGGCAGTGCAACCTCATCAGGGAATACTCGGCGAATTATTCGTTGCTTCGCTGGGAGGCCTATGGCGACCTCGGCATAGGCGTCTTGCACCTCTTTCCTTCGGAAGCATCCGTAATGGCGCAACTGGCTGGCAGATGAAGGGGCTGGTCTTGATTATTGGGACAATCTGACTCATGTCTTCGAGCTCGGCTGGACGGCAGTTCATACAGGGGTGATGCCCGAGATTGATGACCAGCTTGGAGAGTTAACTCATGTCTTCATCTTACTTCAACGTGGAGAGGGAAAGCAGTTTGGTGCTGCAAAACTGTAAGATAAACTCTTTTTTTTCCCTTTTTTCCTTTCTTTGTCATACTGGTGATGGAGAGCTGAAAAGATGCCAGTGTCTACGGGTGTCCTGGGTCCCAATCGGAAGCGAATTGCCCCATTCGCAACATCCAACCCATCCTGCTTAGCGTCTCTGCTTGGGAGCGGTGCCTCGAGGCCATGCGCATTTGCGACTTCCTCGGGGAGCTGCTGTGCACTCGGCCACCCAACTCAACCATGCCCCACTTCCACGCTGTGATGGTGAGAGATTTCAAAGTATTAATTTGCTGCTTGTGCAGGATTTACAAGGCTCTTTCTTTTGCTTGTGCTGCATTGAACACACCTGGCTATGGATGCGAGGCTCCCAGCTCAACATATACACAGGCATAAACGTAACGTGTATGTGGTTTCCTCACTGCTTGGAATGGTGTTTTAATCATTTGTTTGTGCCCGTCAGATGACAACCTGGTGCAAGTTTTTTCCTCGGATTCGAGTGCTGCTGGGAAGCTACGACACCGGTAACATACTTGCCTTTTGTCATGTACTTGTCTAACTCAGTTTCTTCCACGCGTCAGCTTTGAGAGTGTTTCCCAGGCAAGTCGAGAAGCATCTTCGCCTCCGGGTTATCCGGAGGATCGTCCTCGGTTTGGATGGCGATGGTGATGACGAGCACAAGCGGCAGGAGCGTCGTCATATGGAGCAGCCTACTACATATCGCATAGCTTCGACGAGAGCTTGTTTCCCGCCGATGATAAGACGACGCTCATGGACCCAGCCGACGAGGGCAACGAAGCCCGCAAGTTGACGCACTGGTTCATGCTCCCAACCTTGACTGGCTATGTTCTCCACCCAGATCTGCTGCGGTTTGGAGGCATGGACGAAGATGAAATCCCATGCGACAAGGACGAAGACTGCGCTTTTGATGACAGTGGTATCGAAAAGTGGGTTTTTGTGTCTTGATATGTCATATCTTTACAATGTATTCAGGCTGAACTTTCGACAAAATGCTGATTGCCTGGAGAATTTCTTTCTGATGCCAAGTGATCAGGTGACTAGAGGATCAAACTTTAATGGCGAGGAGAAAACATCTTGTTCACATCTGTTTTGTCAAGGCTTCATGAGATAGTAGCGCTTTCATAGAGGTACTGGAGCTTCCTTGGCCTCCACTGGTGCTTATTCAATGAGACACATAACCATTAGCAGAACATTCTTTTACATCTTTCCTTCGGTCAATTTTTGAAACCCATCCTAACTCAGACACATGTACATGGGAACATCTCCCTCCTCGACAAGGCGTTGAAACTTGAGGATGATGTCCAGACGCCCCATCGTGAGCGACTGGAGAAATCTCCATGGACTATATCATCAGTGGCCTCTAAACCAAGAAAAAAAGAGAACTCACTTCTTTAGTTTTGGATCCAGTGTCAGCGTTCTTGTCATTCCTAGAATCCAGGCAGGACAGATCAACGCGCAGCTTGTCTCGAGCAGCAACTGGAGAAATCTCCATGGACTGTACCGTCAATCAAGAGGTTATAGCTTGGCCTCTAAACCAATAAAAGAAGAGAACTCACTTGCATCCAGTGTGAGCGTTCTTGTCGTTCCTCGGCCAGATCAACGCAGCTTGTCTTGAGCAGCGACTAGAGAAATACGGACTGTATGGTCAAGAACTTTTGGCCTCTAAGAGAGAACTCAATGATGAGGCTAGCTTGTTAAAACCTCTATCAAGGTCCAAATCCATGTTGCTGCAGCAAGACGCATCATCGATCACTCGCATCCATAAGAAAGTAATATCCACTCACAATTTAGAGAGATCAAACGCGTTCCCGGTCTTGGCCACGGTCCAGGTCGTCAACAGCGCCGCGGTGAGCTTCCCACGGATCATCGCCTGCGCCATAATCCACAGTAAAACACCCGCATTCTGCCTGTTAAACTTGGAGGCATCGAGAGATGCTCCCGGCCGCCATCGCCATCGCCTTCACGCCAAAGCCCACCCGAAGAACCATCCTCCTCTTGCTTTTGCCGCTCTTGGGCAGTGGCGATTTTTCTACGTCGATGCCGAGATCGCCGATGGAAATGGATCCAAGGACGCTGTCTGTGACTTCATGTCCCCCACGAGCTCCATGATCCACGAGCTTCATGATTGTGAGTGCATTGATTCTCCACAATGGATTGCACGCGAGTCGATGTGGATGACCTCTCGCTTCTCCACACGAAATCGCTCTACCAGCTCTTGTGATGTCGAAGCTCCTACTTTCACTTCTTCGATAGTAAGCATTGAATCGTTTTGCAGCATCCAGAAGCAAATGACGTCGCGCATCAAAACCAAGCGCACAATGCTGCTGATACAGGAAATTTTAAGAGATTATATAGTGGAACGCTCGGATTGGGAATCCTCGGACAAGGTTTTCGAAGATCGGGAAAGCGTTGAGAACCTTGACCAACTCACTGGTAACACATACACAACGTTTGGTTTGGTTTGGACTTGTTGTGATATTTTTATAGGATGAAGAATGGCATGTTCGCTACAATTCGACTTTGGTAGCCATCACCGAGCACCGAATATTTGTTGACCGTTTTGATTCTGATTTTGACCCGGTGGAGTTTTCTGCAGATACTGTCTGCGCCAGACTTGCTAGTGAAAGAAACTGAAGTTCGCGAGTATGAGGTGTGCTGATGGTTTAGAGTTCCCTGTTCTTTGTTGTTTATCAAGCCAGATTCTCTTGCACCTTGCATACGACGAGTTCCCTCCGACTTTGGATTTGGCAATGCTACAAAAAGTGGAGTAGTTTTGTTGTTATCGTTGGTGTTCAGCAGGCGGGCTTGAAGACTTGGGACGTGGCGAGCCGTTTGTGTGAAATGGACGCGGCCAAGGAATCTTCAGTTCTTGTAGAGAAGAAGCGGGGATCTGGCTGTTCTGGAGCCTCTGGAAAATGAGATCAAAGTTAGATGTTCAAGGTTGCAAAAAGATGCCCAGAGTCTCATTATTACGTTGTTTTGCAACCTTGAACATCGAACTGTTGGGCACTCGTGGGAACTTAATTCCTGACAATTCCTGAACTTGATCAACATTCTTCTTAATCTTGAGATCTTGAGTACAATCCTGTGCTTTATGGATGGAATACAACCAAAGTCTTAGAGATCACGAAGCTTGTCGGAGCAACGACAATGGGATGGGAGCTGGGCAACACTTTCACGCAGCACAAAGTTGCTTTCTCACGGTTTGCATTTGGAGAGATACGGCCACGCTGGAGTGGGAGCCGGGAGCGTACGCGCGATCGTGGCCGATGGAGAGAACGCTGCCTTGCAGTACAGCTTGGACGAACGATCACATCCACTTGTTTGTGATCGGCAAAGTGGTGACGGTATATTCCATGAAAGAATATACTGTCAGCTCGTTTAAACATTTCCGTCAGTCGACCACCACGCCTCCTAAAATCTCAGGAAGAGTGAGTGAGAAAGAAGAAACAGTTTTAGGGGCGAGAAGCTCGCTCGTTCGCCGCCAGCGCTGGAGCCTCCGCCAGATCCACGATGTCGAATCCAGGTAACATGACTTACGATGAGTCGGATCACCCCAGGATGGGCGTGGTGAGGCATTCGTCGCACAAAAATGAGCTGCTCATCAAGCCGAGGCTTGCGGCGGTAGCGATTTCATGGATTCTCTCTCTTTCTTCCTACATTCGTGGATTTGCTTTCTTCAGGTAAAAAGGCCAACCCGGGACATTCCTCCCGAGACGTTCAGCTACGGGATCATCGACGAGCGGGGAGACACTGTCAAGGAATGTAAGCTTTTTTGCTTCGCAGCTCTTTTTCTTTTTTCCCGGTGGACTTTATCTCCCGCAAAGAATTTGCAGCCATGATCCATCGCGAGCACGTCCCAAATCCTCATGCAACCAAGGGGAAGGACATCCGGGCCATGAACAAGAAGGCTCCTAAAATGTGAGCGTCTTGCTTGCAGCTCCACAAGATTAAACACATAAGGTGGAAACTTTCCTCGCTCTCGCAGAGCAGCTTCTCACTTTCTTTGTTTCGGTTTGCTTTTTTCCTTTGATGCAGGAACGTTGTCCGAGCTGACCAGCAAAGAGGCTACAGGTTAGAGCACCCTCTCAAGTTGAAAGTGAAGAAACGTATTGTAAGCTCGTTCTTTTGCTCCTGTTTCTTTCTCGTCCTGATCTTCGACTAGTAGGCAAACGTTCCTCCTTTACCGTCGGTGAAAAATCCCGATCACGTCTACGGCTTGCCATTACCAAGGTAGACCTCTCGCCTTTAAAATGGTGGTGTAGAGATCTCACTCGCGTCCATGCAGGGGCGAAACAACAGACGAGTTGATGGCTTACAGCTATGCCGAGGACTGGATAAAGATGAACCAGTACCACCAGCACGACCACGGTTTCATCAAGCCGCAGTTCGTCCCTCCCCGATCGACCAAGACGGTGGAAGTCCGCTCCGGCTCGTGCTACCAGAAGTACAACCCCCCGCCGGAGAAGGAGCGCTTCGTCATGTCCAAGTTCAAGGCGGTCCATCACAAGATCGACAACGTCCAGACCACTCCACTGCTGCGTGACGAGCGGCCGTCAGTGTTCCAGACGACGAGCAGGGGCGGTGTCCACGGCGCTCAAGGAGCTCTTAGATACTGTGGCGATGGCGACGACTATCCCAGCTGCGGGGTGGCGGGCATTAGAACCCGGCTTCCTTGCTCTGGCATCTCGCCGCTACTGCCCCGGAGGAACGACGCGGACGTGGTCTGCGTTGCGGATCAGCCACCCGGCAGGGTGTTGCTTCCCAGGTTCTACAAGGCGTGTAGCAGCAATCCGGCGAATCCATGCGCTTCGCATCCCAGGAGGAGCGATCCCGACGAAGCCGTGACGACTGTAAGAAGAGAAGTTACTCTACGGGGGCCTCGAAGGAGTGATCCTGACTAGAACTCGCTCGTCCTCGGTGGACGCTACCGACGTTTTCCGAAAGAGATCTCCGGCAAACCCGAGACTTTGGTGGTGGTAAAATCGAAATCTTGTTTTCTTTCTGCGAACGAGTACATTTGAGAAAACGAACCATGCATTTGGGAAAACCATGGTCGTGCTATATACCATCGGAAGCTCTCAAGCTGGATCTTCTTTCTTACGTGTGGCTCCTACAAACTTCGTAAGAATGAAGGACCTTCATGCTTTGGCGTCGTGGCTCTTGCGCATCTCGATGGCCTCGAGCTCCTGCGGCAGCGGCGGGACGAACCTCCTCCACAGCCAGTGCCGCCTCCACACGAACACCATCTCCTCGATGGGGATGCCTTTGGTCTCTGGGATGAGGAAGAGCGTGAAGGTGGTCATCACCAGCACCCAGGAGGCGAAGAAGAGGAAGATCCCGTACTTGAAATGACACAGCATCGAGAGGAAGGCCTGGGCGATGACGAAAGTGAAGAGCAAGTTTGTGCACACCACCACGCTCTGCCCCGACGACCGGATCTCCAGCGGGAAGATCTCGCTGGGGATGAGCCAGCCGAGCGGCCCCCACGACCACGCAAACGCCGAGACGAAGGTGCATATCATGCACACCACCACGATCGCGGCGGCGTGAGAGAGCTGCGAACCGTCCTCCTTGAGCCCGGTTCCCAGGATGATCGCTATCACCACCTGTGCGAGGAACATCTGGACGCCGGCTTCCAGCAGGAGGACTCTCCGGCCGAAGCGATCAACCGTGAGTATGGACACCACCGTGGAGACAACGTTGACGGCCCCGGTGATGGCGGCCGAGTAGAGGGAAGCGTCGCTCTCGAATCCCAGCGTCTGGAACAGCACCGGCGCGTAGAACATGATGGCGTTGATCCCTGTGAGCTGCTGGAATATTTGGAGTGCCAGGGAGATGACGAGCTGTGGCCTGTAAGCTCGGGAGAAGAAGAGGTTCCTGTATGGATGCTCCACCGACTTTGCGAGCCGGCTCACTTCCACGAGCTCGTCAAACTCCTCGTGGATGTTGTCTGTGCCTCTCACTCTCCGGAGCACGGTCTTGCCTCGTTCGAAGTGTCCTCGCTCGATCAGGCTGTTCGGTGTCTCGCACAGGCACAGGCTTCCGACTGTGAGCAGCACCGCGGGGATCCCAGCCAGGCCGAGTGAAAGCCGCCAGCCCCAGGGGTGGAGCTTGTCAGTGCCATAGTTGATGAGGTTGGCGATGAGGATGCCGATGGTCACGTTGAGCTGGAAGAGGATGTTGAGGCCGCCCCGGTAACGAGTAGGAGCAATCTCGGAGAGGTAGAGTGGAACGGCCTGGTTGGCGAAGCCGACGCCGCAGCCGAGAAGGATCCGGCCGATGATGAGCATGGCCAGGTTCTCCGCAGCAGCGTTGAACACCACCCCGGCGATGAAGAACAGTCCCGCTATCAGCATGGTTGGCTTCCGACCGAATCTCTGCGTCGTGTACGAGGCTGCGAAGGTGGCCACCAGACCCGCAAGGTAGAGTGACGACGTAAACGCTTGCAGGCCCTGGTCATCATACTTGCAGTAGTTTCCTTCTTTTCCAGCAAGCTCCAGCTTCTTCCGTAGAATGCTGGGGAAAAACTTTCCCAGGAAATCGTTCATGGAGGTGACACCACCTGTACAAGACCAAGAAAGAAATTTTATCCATTGGTCACAGTCGGGACGAGAAATCTTCGAGGAGCGAAATTGAGGCTTACCTGAGATCCCGACATCGTATCCAAACATAAGTCCTCCCGTAGCTGCCAAAAGGCAGGCAACAGCAACGTAGGCGGTGAACTTCCCTTCATGCTGGCTTCCTCCAGGACCTGCTGCAAATCCTCCGGCCATGGTTTCGAGCAAGAGCTAGCTCGAGCAGTAGCTGGAGAGATTCAGCCTCTCTCCCCTGCTTATAAAGCTCATAGGATCTCCACTTTATTCAACGAGGCCGTCTCACGTGTCGGATCCTGACAGGCTTGTGCTGTTCACAGTCATCCTCGTTGACGAAACATCTGTGGCGCTGGAAGGACGGGTTTCTAACTCTGGACCCGTCTCGTTTGTTGACCTTGCCGCCGACATTTCGGAAAATAATATCGGGGAGCACTGCCACGTTGTTGTAAGCTTGATGTCATCCTGTACAATAATACAAACACGCAAGGATCAATGCCAGAGACTGTCAGTTAACAGTCGAATTTGACTACCGACCTTTTGGAGCGGAGCGGAGATTTTCTGTCATGGACTGCAAGGTCGCAAAAGTTGCAAGAAAATTGTAGATGCACCTGTCTTAGTTACACAGGGAGAACACTTACAAGGCGATTTGTACATAGACTACATTCTGCAATATACACCATCCTTTTCGTAGATTGAAAAACTTTCCTCCAGGCCCTTTAGAAGTGTCAATATGGCACTTACGTCTGTGTCAGAAAACCGGGAACTGATTTCCTTCAGGGTGGCCTACACAGAATAGTTAAAAAACCACGAGCGTTTTTTTTACAACTGACATACCCCATCACGTGAAAGGAGCCACTCCATTATACCTTCGTCCGTCGCTTGCCTGCTTTCGGCAGTGCGCATCTTCTTGCACTCGCCATTCGCCAGTTCCTCCACGTCTAAACGTCTCGGCTTTGTCGAAGTTTTAGTACGAATGTCGAGCCATGGAGGACGGTCTATGGATTCGTTGCGCGGTTCTTCATCGAGATCTATAACCTCGACATTGCGGTCTTGAGTATCCACGTTAGGACTAAGGCCCAAATCCACTCCTAGTTCTTCCGCAAGTAAATAGATTTTGATATGAGCATAAGAGACCTGCTTTCAAAGAACAAAAAGAAATGTTACAAGAAATGGAAGACACAGTGCTTACCGTTTCTGGTAGATTCTCTTTCAGAGGTTTCATCTTCTCTCTCGATCCCACTTTACCAATTGCAGCTCGAATCTGTTCTCTAATGCAAGTAGTCATGCCTGTCTCGTCGAAGAAGCGACTCCAATCAGCTTCGCATCCAGCACGAAGGCACTCTAATATGTACTCAATAACTGTATCTTCTTTAATTGGCCTAGGACGCTCCGGAAGATTCTGTTCATAGCAGAAATAAATTCAATCACAAAAATTTCGAAAGGAAAACAAAAACATACCGCAATCTCAAAGAATGACATTTTCTTTTCATGCCACATGCTCCATGCTTCAGACTTTGCTGGAGTCAACATAGACCGATCCGAGGTCCTAGAAGCAGCAGCCTTCTGCACAATGCTTTCCTTGTCTTGTTCCAATCCGGTTTCTTGACAAATGCGCTTAACGCACTCGAGAAATGCTTCACCATATTCCGTAACAAGCCACTGGCACGTACCCCGATAAGAACCCATAAGTAAAATCTAAAATATCACCTGATTTATGCCTTCGACATTTCGTAAACGTACGATATTCGAAGGCCTAGTGTTTGTGATCCTCTGCAAGGTCCGCTCGTTGCATATCATGTATCTAACAACACAAGTTAAGCAACTTAAACTGTACAGCCTTCGATCAGTGTTTCTTACGGGGCAGTTGAACTCTTGTCAGCAATTTCCGCTCTCAAGTCTATGAGTGCCTTAAATAATTTCATTTCCACCTGCAGAGACCTTTAGCACACACGGAGAAACTATTTGCTTCCGCTTACCTCCGGCAATCCATTCAAAGTGGGCCCTGGCGTACTCGCAGTAGCCGTATCAGGTGCACTACTTTTCTCTTCTCGAAGCATTTCCTCCGTGACAGGTAATACAAGTGATGCTCCATTCGGCAGCTCCTCCAAAAACCGCTGTCCCTTCTGTGACACGCTGATTGAAACAGACATCTGTCATGAGCTAAGTGCGTCCTATTTACCTCACAGTCCTGAATTTTTCTCGCGTCTCTCTTAAATAACCTGCAAAGAAATATCAGAAAGACATGAACACCCTCACGTGCTTGACAAACCCAAGGATAGAAGCTGATCTCCAAGCGCTTTCCACCAAGTAGCAGTCTTTTCGCGACCGAGGCCATGAACATGAAGCTTTTCGTAACCTCGCTCCACGACTTTCTTAGCCTACACAATTTCAAAACATCAAAACATCTTCATAGAAAAATAATACTTACAAGAGAGCCTCTTAAAACATCAATAGGCATATTCATCCCCCAAAAGCCTCCACATAATTTGACAGCTGCCAAAATTGCGTAAGCCTCCTGCACCATATCGCGCCGTTGAGCAGCAGTCTTGGTACAGTTATCACAGTTTCCTGCAGAGTCAAAAATGTTTTTCAGCAGTTCGAAACCAAAATGTCGTACCACAGTTGTCGTTCTTTGTAAACTCCCCGAAGTATTGCAAAATAAATTTCCGCCGGCAGGTTGTCGTTGTGCAATATCCTTGCGAAGCTGCGAAGGCATCTGCCACCGCTTTCTTCCGTTCTTGCTGATAAATTTACGAAAGGAAGGTCATATAAGAATCACCATTTGAAGACATACCGTGCGAACTTCCGAAGTGTAATATTCCGCTCGCGTAAAGTCAGCACGCGTAAAATATAGCCAGCATGCTGATGGCAAACCATCTCTACCGCACCTACCACTCTCCTGGTAATAAGACTCCAAGGATTTTGGACAGCCATAATGTATCACTCTTCGTATATCCGGTTTATCAATGCCCATTCCAAAGGCAACAGTCGCAACCACAACTTGAAGTTCATCTTTCAGGAAAGTCCTGTAATAGAAAGTTGGCCACCGCAATTTCGAAAAAACAAAAAACTTTCTCAGAAAACTACCTGTGAACATCGTTCCTTTCCTTGAGTCCGAGCTTGCTGTGGTATGCTCGTGCAGCGGCACCTGCTTTCACCAAGGCGTTTGTGACCTGCCATCAACTTTCAAACAGGTGATAAACCGAGACTCTTGTACCTCATCTACATCCTTGATAGTGTTGCAATACACGATAGTGGAGCCTCCCTGTTCTAAGTCCTTCACAACTTCAGTGGCAAGCTCTTCGCGGAAGGCATTGGACCTAGTCAATGGCTTCACACCATAGAAGATATTTGACCGATCAAACGAAGAAACGGCTATGTAGGCATTTTTAAGCATGAGCGATTTTAATATGTCCTCCCGCACCCTGGAAACGACGTCAAGCCCCGTCCATAGAAACGCCACAAGCGCGTCTTACTTATGTGTGGCGGTGGCAGTCAGTGCAACGAATGGAACCTCGGGAAGCTTCGATCTGATCGAACTAAGCCGCTGGTACTCCGGCCTGCAATTAAACAAATGACGCTCATTGACACGCCCAAGAAAACCGGACCTGAAGTCGTGTCCCCATTCTGAGATGCAATGCGCCTCGTCAACAGCCAACAAAGAAACACCACGACTCAGCAGCGAGGTCCACGTACTGCAAACACATCGATTCGCATGCAAGATGGACATTGATGATAAAAAGAAAAAGAAAACTCACGTTCCACAGGCCTTCTCTGGAGTCATGTAAAGGATATCATACTCTCCCCTTCCGGCTTTATCTTCTACAGTCTTATCAGTCTGAGCACTGCCCAGGTATTCCGCTTTGATACCACGTAGCTTCAGCCCCATTACCTGGAATACAAGACGTTCTCTCGATCAGGAGAAAAAGAATGAAGAAAAAAAAACAAAATGTAGCTATGGAAAAACCTGATCTTGCATCAAACTGATCAAGGGGCTGATAACAACGGCGGTTTTGCTGCTCACGAGGGGCGGAATTTGGTAGCTGCACCAATGTAGACGAGATTTTCCTAGAGTTAGTACCACAAGCAAGAAAAAGAAAAAGAAAAAATCCAAGGAAAGAAGCATCGGGCGCTTACCAGATCGATTTGCCGCTGCCAGTAGCCATCACAACAAGACAATCCCTCCCACGCAATATCTGCTGTATCACCTCCTTTTGAAACGGACGAAACGATGAATAGCCAAAATAATCCTGGATCAAGGCAAGCGCCAACAATGCAGCGATCAGAATCTCAATCCCAGGCACCGCGCGGCATCGCGCTCACCTTGAGGCAGCGCTCCATCGCCAAATCCCCTAAAACCCTACTCCCACCGGCGGGACGCCATTTGGGCGGGAATCGAACCAAGAACTTTCCACCTGCTTAACACTGGAATCGATCCCGGGACGCGTTTAATGGAGAAGAGAGAGAAAGTAATCTATACAAAGAATCCAAATTAGAAGTACAATACTACGGCAAACAGTGGTACTAGGATCTAACAACTAAACAAATGTTAGAAGGACGAGCAAATCAGTGTAAGGTGTGTGTAAAACTAAGAGACTTTTTTATCTTACCATGTGTCTTGCCTTGCGAAGAGAGAGAGAGAGAGAACTGGATGATCTTCTTCTCCTCTCTCTCTCTCAGCTGCTCACACCTATTTGCGCTGGCTGTGCTTCTTGCGACTTTGCCATTGTCTCGGTCTTCGCACAGCTTATCACCGGGGCAGTGGAAGAAGCTTTCGCCGCTCCCTTCTTTGCTTGGTCGCCACTTTGATCTTCTTTTGCCGGATCTTCCGCCGCTGCTGCAGTTTCTTCCCCTGTTGCTTCGTCTTGAGTTGTTTTGGCCTCGGCTTTAGCTCCACCGTCTTGCTCTTCTTTGCCGTTCTCGTCCGCCTTGTCCGAGTCCTTGACACCGCCTTCTTCGTCGTCTGGAGACTTTATCGCTGCCACGGCCTTCTTCTTCCTCCCGCGCCGTGGAGTGGTCGGCTCCGCCTCGGCCCAGCTGTCCGAGGGCCGCTTCCTCGAGCTCAGCCTCTCGGATCTCCTCGGAGTCTCGCCTAAAAAGAAAATTTTCACAACATTTAGTAACTTCCAGCTCTGGAGGTAACTCACGCGGAACGGAAAAACGAGTTTTTTCTTCGCTTGACTGACCTGTACCCCAGTCAAAATCCGCTACGGGTGGCCCTCCCGAGTTAGCTTTGAGATAACGCTCCAGCTGCCGTTTGCTCTTAATCTCCTCTCCATCCGGAGCAACGAACGTGATGTCTCCTCGGCGAGGAGTGCCTCCTCGGCGCTGAGCCACCTGAAATTCCAAAAATCAGCCACTAGAACCAGCAACACATCACACAAACTTTTAGTCTCAAGAAACCCCAAGAAACGCAGCAAAACGAGAAAAACTTGAAAGTCCTAGCACATAATTCTCAGAAATCTGCAAACAGGCACAAGAAAACCACAGGCAAGAAGTCCAATTGCTCGCAAACGCGAAGACAAGAAAACTAGCAAAGAGCTACGAACCTTTTTCTTCCACCCCGGAGGTGCCGGGAGCTCCTCCCACACGATTCCGTCCCCGGCAAGCTCATCACCTTCCACCATGGCCGCCATAGCCTCCTCCTCCGAAGCAGCCATTATGTTCTTCTTCGCCAAAGTTTCTTTTCTTTCCATACGTACTTGCAACCCGTCACTGACGCGCTCCCTGACGGGTTGGGCCCCCGTCATTTGGGAAATATTCCCCAAATTTCAAACATATCCAGATCATTGGATGCGTTGCGCCTGCCACTTGGCATGCCACGTGTACGGCGCTTGTCACTTCGGACAATTCAAACGTGAAATCCACTGAAAAAACACCAGAGCGAGTCACAGTCAGATTATCTAGAAGAAGAAGAAATTAGTTCTCAAAATAATGCTTACTCTCTTTAATCTTCCCAATCATCTTCATCTCCATCACTGCCAGAAGTTTGTGGGAGGAACGCTTTCAAGTTTGCAATCTGCAAAAAAGGAGAAAAAATCATCCAAGCTTTGGCCAAAGACGAGACGATTAAAACTTGCCGGCAACGGAGACCTGCAACCACCAACACCCGTGAGATGGTTTTTGGTTTGTAGCTAAAGCGCGATAACTTTGATTACCTCGCGGACGAGCTTGCTCCAGTGTCGGAACCTTTAGACATCTGGAAAGAGCCAGTTACGCAACGGACGAAAAGCCTCACGATTATAACTAGAACTTACGTCGTGAGTGGCGCCTTTCATTGAAAGCCTTCGCATTTTTAGCGTCGACGCCATCTCAGCAAGCAGGTCCGCCTGCGCAATAGAAGAAATGATGAGGAGGCAACAGGCTCGACTTTTACCACCTGTTTAGAATGCGGAGGCTCGGCCTCTTGAGTTGGTTCTGATGTCTTCTCGGACACGTCAGTCTGTAAGAAACGAGCAAGCTAAAAGGAAATAGAGATGATAAAATGGATAATGGCCTACCTTTCTTAGTTTGATGTTTGGACTTCGAATGGACGCAAGGAGTGCTGCTCTATTCGGTTCTGCAAAAGGATTCAGCAACATGAAAAGCAGCAGTCAAAGGAGATTACCAATTGGAGGAATAGCTTGTGGAGGAGTTGATGAGGATGCAGACGCCTTGTCCTTGCTTGCTGCCCCAGGGTTCATGGTGCTGCTTATCATAGGTGGAGAAGGCAATGGTGGTGGTGGCGGAGGGATTATGCTTTTTCCTTGAACCAAAACAACAATCAGCAATGTCTATTACACGCAAAAAAGAACGTCCGCACCTCTATCGTCCTTCGTGTTCTGAGAAATTAGTCGAGGGGGCGCCTGGGGTGGACGTAGTTGCGGCACGGGAGCCTCCTCCATTTTCGGTGCAGGAGGAACGGTAGTTTGAGAAGGATCTAAGAAACAAACAGGTACTGGTTATGTAACGTTGAGCATTCAATCCTTACTTCTCGATTCTTCAGCTTTGGGAGCATCTAGCTTTTGAGAGCTTTTATTGCTTGCCGAAGGCACGATTGATGTTAACTCCTGAACGTCAGTCCTCGAGCCTGATATTTTTTTGGCAATTTTATTCTCCCTACATAGAAATATGAAGCATACCTGTCCAGCTAATATCCGCCACCATAGGCAAGTCCGGAATTTTGGAAGGCAAAGTGAACAGAGGAACTTGACGCAATGTCGGCTTGAATCCATACTCTTCTAGACCTGGAGCAGCCTAGTCACCAAAATAAACTCAGTGACTATAGTGCGTCCCTGTGCACATAGCTTACTGGATTGTTTCTTTGAGTGAGACTCTGGGTGGAGGATAAAGCGTGGTAGATTTTCCAGAAGCCTCGGATGTAGCTTGTTCTGGTAGTTTAGTATGCCTGTTCATAGAGAATAAAAAACAGGATTAGAGTAAACATACGAAAATATAGTACTCAGGAAGAACGTCTGCTATGGATCTATCATTAAAATCAGCATCATCCTGTCCACAAGAACCAAACTATCGCCAATCACCACGACAAGAGACTAGAAAAAAGAAAAAGAATACCTTGTGCATTGGTGTAACATTTAATCGTTCATGGCTAGTTTCCATGAAAAAACGAAAGAGCTCCAGCGTTCCTTCGTTTTCATCCTCCTGGTAATGCAAAAACAAGACACTGGCATGGCCTCCTCGCAAATCAATCACCTGAAAATTCCCCATATTGAGCTCTACTTTGAAGACTGGCAGAGGCTCGTCGTGTCCTCCAAACAGCGGCTTGAAATCCACAGCATCGGAAGAAACCTGTGGATATTTCGCGCTCGATAGCACCGTTATCGCTTGCCTCGACCCGGAGATAGAATCCACATTCGCCTGAAGAACTCCTCCAATCCAAAAAAACTCCAATGCAAATGCGATTGCTTACCTTCACCGCCTGGATCCTCCTCGACAGATCTTGCAATCGCTCGCGCTCCATCCCGACCTGCGCAAATAAACGACGATCACACCAAAACAAGGCCGGCGCTGGCATACGCGGCTCGCAATCCTCCCAAACACCGCATCGGCGGCGTCCTGGAGCTGCTCCAGCGCGCGCAGCAGATCCGAGTCCACTGGCGCCATGAGAGGGAAGACGCCAAGAACCCTAAAACCCCGGAATCTTACTTAAAAACGAGAAGAGCCTGGCTTTGACAATGGAAGAATCCATGCTTCTTCGCGCGCCAAATGGTGCGGAGAACGAGACCTAGAACACTTTGGAGTGAAACAAACCAGCGCCAGCGGCCAAGTCTTCGTCCATTTTCTTCCTTCTTTCCGGAACGAACAAGGCTCGCCTTTGCTCCATCAAGGAGAGCAGTACTACTACGAAATGGATTCTCTTCCTCAGATGGCTTTGACGAGTCTTAAACGTTGACAATCTTAAATCCCTCTCTCGCTCTCTCTCTTCTCTCTCACTCTCTCGGTCTCGGTCTCCCTCCTCTCGTTTCTTCGGTCCTCGTTCTTCTGGTTCTTCTGCTCTTGCCAGTGATCTTTCTCGGGTGTTTCACAAAGCCAAACTCAAACCAGCAGGCTTTCTTCCTTGATATATAGCCCCTGTCGATCCAGCATTTGCTTCCAAACAGAGCTGCGTTCTCGGTCGTTTTAGAACCACCTTCGCTTCTTCTTCGCTGTAGCAAGCTCGTTCTTGGAGGAGTTCTCGACGTCTTCCTTTCTCGGCTTCTTCGCCGTGCTTGGGCGATCTTTCTAGGCGATCGGAGTCTAGTTCCAGTTCCTCGACGTAAACCAACATTGTCTCTCGAGCACTTCCCATTGTCGCGGTCGGAGGACGTAACGATGGACGCGACTGCAATCCTGAGTGCCATTGCCTGCGACGAGCAAGCACTCGGATTCATGGAGCACGTAACAAGACACGTCTCCAGCGTCCAGGACTACGTCCTGCAGCTCTTGCTCGAGGCCAATGCTGGCACGGACTACTTCCAAAGGCATGGCCTCTACGGCATTCCAACCAAGGAGGAGTTTCGGAGGCTCCTCCCGATCACCACCTACAGCGACATGGAAGCGGACTTCCAGAGATTAGCAAACGGGGACGAGTCGAAAACCATTTGCGCTGCTCGAGTGCTAGAAATGCTTACCAGGTAAAAAACGAAACAAAGAACGCATTTTTTTTTCTCTTCTTTCGTCTCGTTGACTGACGAAAAAAATAAACACAGCTCTGGAACTTCTGGTGGGAAGCAAAAGCTCTTTCCAAAGTCGCCCAGCTACGATCAGGAGTTCGTGGCGCTCAACCGGGTGGCCCGAGCTGCACTAAACAAGTAAGTTTCCAAAAAAAAAAACCATTTTCGCGAGAGAATGAACAGAAAACCTTACCTTTTCGATTCTCCATCGCAGGAAAGCACCGTACGCGAGCCGGGGAAAATCCTTGCAGTTCTTCTACGTGAGAAAGCCCGGGATCACATCCGGCGGCGTCACCACCACCTCGGGCCTCAGTGGCTACTTCACAAGTCCAGCGTTTCGCCAACGCAAGCTCGACCCGGAGTCGGGCTACACGAGCCCGGACCAAGTGATCCTCTGCGTCGACTATCAGCAAGCGAGCTACTGCCACCTCCTCTGCGGCCTCACGCAATCCCAGGAAGTCGTTTCCATCGGTGCGCCCTTCGCCTCCACTCTTGTCCGAAGCCTCAAGGCTCTCAAGGATCTCTGGCAAGAACTCTGCGTAGACATCGAGACCGGCCGTGTGAACGACAACATCGTCTCGGACTTATCCGTCAAACACGCCGTGAACGCTTTACTTAAGCCGGATCCAAAGCTGGCGGCGCTCGTCCGGCGAGAGTGTAGCAAGAGCAACTGGCGCGGGATCGTCCGCCGCCTCTGGCCGAGAGCACGGATCATCCAGGCCATCGTCACGGGATCCATGCAGCAGTACGTGCCAGCGATCGACTTCTTCAGCGATGGCCTCCCGATCGCCTCGTCCATCTACGCCGCATCCGAGTGTAGCACACTGGGAGTGAACTTAAGTCCAGTCTGCTCGCCATACGACGTCCGCTACTCTCCATTCCCGTGCTTCGTCTACTACGAGTTCCTCCCCGTGAGCTCCAGTTCGAGCTCTTCGCCAAGGCGGGACGATCTCGTGCAGCTCGCAGAGGTAGAGCTCGGGCGAGAGTACGAGCTTGTCATCACCACCCGGGCCGGACTATACCGCTACCGCGTCGGGGACGTGCTCAAGGTGGTGGGCTTCAAAAACTCGATGCCGCAGTTCTCCTTCGTCGGCCGGGCGGGAGTTCTCTTGAGCGTCGACACGGACAAGACCGACGAGGTGGAGCTCCACACCGCCGTCACCACCGCCGCCGCGGTGATGGCCAAGAGGAACCGCGGCGACGTCCGGCTCCTCGACTACACGAGTAGAGTCAACTTGTCGTCCCAGCCGGGCCACTACGTTGTCTATTGGGAGCTCTCGTTGGATGCCGCTATGGAGTCCCTGGAGGCGGAGCTCCGCGAGTGCTGCTCGGTGATGGAGGAATCGCTGTCCGTGGTGTATCGGCGGAACCGGCGAGAGGGCAGCGTTGGAGCGCTGGAGATCAAGGTGGTCGAGCCGGGAACTTTCGACCGGATAGTGGATCATGTTGTGTTTGTCGGTCAAGGGAGCATCGGGCAGTACAAGACGCCGAGGTGTGCCAGAGATCCGGCAGTACTTCGCATTCTAGAGTCGAGCGTCGTGGAAAGTTCCCGGGCGAGATAGAGAGAAGCCGAGAACTTTTCCTCCTTGGACTAACTTGGTCTGACATAGCCAAAATAGAAAAATCCGTTTGAGAACTTCGTGATGCTTACCAGTTGGAAGATTCAAAGGCAAAGATTTGCGGCTTTTCGTCAAAGAGATACGCACAATTTCTGGAAGATCATGTGTGAGGCAATTGGGTAAAGAAGAATAGAAACGAGCAAAAACCCACCTGTGTGCCGGAAATCTCGTGGAAAATCAAGTTGGTTGTCATCCCTTGTTTCCATTGCCGAGAAGCGAAAGCTGATGTGAAGAAACACCTCCTGTGCCTGGTAGAGATCCTTCTAGCCCGAGGAAACCATATCATACTTTGACTTCGATAGTCAGTGAGCTCCTTGTCCCCGGCCTCTGGCAAACCCAAAGAAAAGTCTTCCACATGTCGTAGTCCGGCTTGGAAGGCATGGACTTTAGTAGCTCATCTTTGGGCTTGAGAAGCTCCATCACACGCAGGTAATCTTCCAGGACCGGATACACCTCAAAGTCTGCGACCAAGACAGCTTGCAGCTTCGTTAGTCCGGCAGAGACTTGCAAGTGGAGACCATGCTCGTAAAGATGGCGTTGTCTGGCACCACACCCCTGACAACACTCAGCCGCTGCGTACTTCCCCTTTGTGGCCAATCCAGAGACCATCAAACTCCACGACTCCAAATTCTTCTCCTCGATCGAATGGAAAACCGAGGGTTGCCTCCAAGGGCCTGCAAGAAGCCACACTCGGGTTTTTCATCCTCTGCACCATTGCCTTGGCCGTCTCAAGATCCCCGCTCTCGGCAAATGCTGCGATCATGGCCTACTACAGTTTCTCGTGCCCAGGCGATGCTCGGAAGATTGTAAGCGCCCTGTGTCATCGCGGCTCGCGCATAACCTCGATCATTTTCACCCAGGGATGTACAGCCGGATTCTTCGCCATCTTGAACAGCTCCTTGGCCTCATCCGTAAGCCCCCTCTGGTATACGCTAAGAGCATGATGTTCCAAGTCTTCACGTCCCTCTTGCCGGCGCCATCGAAGAACGCCCTGCCCTCCTTGATCTTCCCATTGACAATGTATGCTTCCAGCATGCTGTTGCTCGTCGGCAGAGTATCATCCGGTTTTCGTGCTCGGCGTTCCTGATGGCCAGTTTGCTCGGCGACCCTGATGGCCAGTTTGCTAGGCGTGAAAGCTGTAACAGCCTTGTTTGCTGGGCCGTTTGCTTCTTACTTGCAAAGGAATGCTCCTCGACAAGACTTTGATTCCACAACTGAGCACTTGAAGAGCACGAGTATAATCGGCGCCTACCACTCCAGTGATTCCCATGGCCAGTGGTGAATTTGTTCTGGTTTGGGGATGAAGAGCTCATCGGCAAGGTGGCTGGATTTTAACTTGGAAGCTATTAAGTTCTTGGATTCCACTGCTGCCACGAGAAACGCTTTGAGGAAAGTGGTGGAGGCGAGGATGGAACACATGCGTTCCGGGCTCGAGTATGGAGGGGAGAGGAGGAAGTCGAATCCTTCCAAGAGGGCGAAGGTGCGCTGCAGGAGAAGCAGGCAAGTGCTGGAAAAATATCCAGGTGGAGGAATTCAAGCACAAGGACTTGGAGCTTGAACAAGTTGCCTCCGTATGTTCACAATCCTGATAGAGAGTCAAGGACAAATCCGATGCCTCCAAATTAGAGGCACTGATTGCGAGCTCGATGGAACAATCCAATTCATAAATTCTGCTCGTCCAGAATTCGATGATCAATGCGTTCGTTTGGCAAGATTGGGAGGGAGAGATTGCCCAGATAAGATTTCAGAGGAAGCTGACTGCACTGCCTTCGATCAAGTACCTCAATTGGTCGAAGCAGTTTGAACCGGCTTCATTTCTTGGCAATCTCAATATTCGAGAAGATCCTCTTTTGCCGGATGCTAGGAGGCTGAAGCACACCACGTTCATCGCACCCACTCCAGCATCGGATCCTTCGCCACCTCAGCTGCAGCCGCTCTATGGAAAGAGCACAATTATGTGTAGGAAGAATAAAGGTCAATTTTGCTCCTATAAAAGCAGCCCATGCTTCAAACCAAACCCTGAAGGACGATGGCCAAGGAAGCTCTGGAGGCGCTGAAAAGGAACAAGGGGGATCCCATCCAAATCCAGCAGTCGCTGGATGTCCTGGCATATGGCTCCTGGGAGGGGATATCCAAGCACGAGATTAGAAAGGTGGTAGGGCAACGATTGCAAAAGGGAAGTGTGCTGGAGAGGCGGCTGAACAGGCAAGATCTGGAGGTGAAGCCTCTCCCAGAGCTACAACCTCCCAAGCCTTTCTTCCCCCAAGCTGCGATGCTAGAGTTTAGGACAGCGTTGGAGGCATGGCAATGCACACCCGAGTGCAAGAAGAAGCTGAGCTATCTCTACACCAACATTTCAAATTGCAACCACTTGCAAGCCACAATGCAAGCCGAGGTGAGTATGCGCCAGCATTGGAGAAGTTTGGTATCCGAGAGCAAGTGGAGATCGGTTTTAGAGTTTGGCACCTGGTTTATGGCCGTCTCGCTGCAGGGCTTCAGGAACATTGCCTTTGAACTGGCTAGTGATGCTGATAGAAGATTCAAGGAGCTGCACGATGCGTGTGCAGGGGGCCAGGTACCGGTAGACTGCCTTATCTGCTTCTTGGAGCCGTTTCTTAGGCTTATGGTCAGGGGAAGCTTGGTGCAAGAATGTGGTGCACGGATCAAGTTCATTGGGGCTTGTGCGTTACTGCTTCAAGGGGTCGAGCCCAGGAATGTCGACACCTGCTGGAAGCTGTTGATCGAGAGCACCACAACACTTCCAAGTGAAGATGAAGATAAGCTTTTGGAGTTCTTGTCATCGGAGTGCAACCTGTCCAATCCCTTGCTCCAATCCATGCGGACTGCAAGGAAGAACAAGAATGCAGATGCTGCCAACTCCCTACTAGCTATGCGCGTTGCAAGGAAGAATAGCGATGCAGATGAGCATTAACAAGGGCTTCAGAACGCTGTACTGCAATGTCATTGTCTTTTTTCTTTAGCCGAAAAGCAAAGTCCTCGTCAAAAACAAAACAAAGAAGCAAAAAGCTTATCTCAGATAGCGAGCTCCATGGAGAAGAACTCGGAGCGCCTTCCAAAGCTCGGGACGGGCGCAGGATCATCCACCCAGCTCCAACTCTCGTCCCAAGAATCAAACACGATGATCCCAGAGCAGTGGTGTGGCGCCACAAAGTTGATCCGTCCCCCTTGATCACCCGAAAACTGCCACAGCTCATGCTTCGGCAGCAGCTTCACGCCCTTCTGCTCGCTCATGACCCGCTTCACCATTTCACTCGGCAAGCTCGACCGCCGCCGCCACTCCCAGCCCACCGGATCGAAGACGAATGCGTCGATCCCTCTCACCACCTTGGAGCTATCACGCAAGAGCCCGACTTCGCCACCTTTGTAGATCAAGAGCTGGTGATAGAGCGGATACTTGAAACGATCCTCGCTCCAGCTTCCCAAGACCTCGACGTTGGATGGATCATTCATGCTGCCGCTCACAAGCTTCACGACGCCATTGTCCTCCGAGCACAAGTAGTAGAACGTCGCGATGCCATCGCAGAAGAGGCTGCCGTAGCTCGAGCTCCCGGGGAAATCCACCGTCTTCCATCTCCTAGTTCTCGAGTTGTAGAAGCCGTCGCCGATGATGATCCGGAAATCTAGAGCCGTTCTTCCACCGCTAGCCGGCGATCGCTTTGGCACCAGCAAGCTCCACGGGCTCGTCTCCCAGGACGAGTTTGGAGCCGGATCGAAGAACACCCACTGGCCGGTGATGGGATTGCCCACCGCGATCTTGGACTTCAGCCGAGCGGCGACGAGGCCGCCGCTGGCGCCCTTGAGATGGAATCCACCCTCGGGGAGGAAGCAAGCGTTGGGGAGATCGCACCATTTCTTCAGCGACGCGCTGTAGCACCTGGTAATCTTGCGAGCCGAGTACCTGGGCCGGATGAGGAAGGGCGCAGCCTCGCGCGATCGATTGGCCTCCCTCCACTGCTCTTGGAACGCTGGGCAGGCGGTGATGTGCCTCAGCTCGCGGCACACCAGGCGGACACTGAGGATGAATTCCACAGGAAGCATGGCGAGGATGCGCTGGAGCAGCGCCATCGGCAGCCTCTCCCATACCTTCGTCTTGAGCTTCTTTCCCATTGCAAAAACCCTAAACGGTTAAAAAATTAAAGAAGACTTTTAAAGGCAAACCTACATTGTTTATCTGGCCCTAAAATGCCCTATCCCACATGCCCAAGCTCAAAGAGTTTCTTCGATATATAAGAGCTCGGTAGACGGGGTATTGTATGAGCGCGCCCGCTTCAAGGTGGGAGTCAGCACGGTGTTATCCTCGGAGGGGGATTGTGACGTGGCTGATAATGCGGGGACACATCGCGTCAGGCGGGTAACCGAGCATCGCTACAGCTCCAGCTCTTGCCAGTGAAGGGATCACGCGCTCTTTTTTTGCACCGCGATTTTGATGATTTGTTTCACTTGTGCATCGTCTAGCGTGATTGGAAATCTATTAAATTCTCACGAGTTTGATGGCGTCATGGAATTGATTGAAATGGTGCCTGTAAACCCCTGGAATTCGAATCCCCGGGAGAGAGAAGATCTTTGATCGATATGCGAGCGAGGTTTTCTCCTCGAGGTATCCAAAAGATACTATGTTCCAGGCATAAAATTGTTTGCAGGAAGATCGAGAAATCAAGATCAACGGCTATCAAAGAGCTTGTTTAGATTGAGGGCAGCGTACGTGGCTCTACATTCGTCTAGATTATGAGATGCAAAAAAATATAACGAGGATGATCGCAACACGCAAAACATTCATGTCTTCTTAAGAACTCTTCCATCCCAGCCTGGCTTCTTCCAATCTCGTCAATGAAGCGCTTTGTCGATTGAAACGCTTAGGCCTGGTGGATCGAGTCCAGCAAGTTTAACCGCCTTAGACCACCTTTTCAGCGATCGCGACAAGTACAAATGAATATCTAGAAAACTCGATCGTTTGTGTGTAGAAAATGTTGGTGGCAAATGCATCATGGATTCAAGCAACTGGATGCCCCAGACATCTCAGAATTCGTGAGATTGATCAAGCTTTGCGGCAATTCAAGGAATCTTGTGCGTGCAGTGCAGCTAGAAGCACAGATCCTCCACAGCCCCCACAGCCAAGAGCGCTACCTCTCCAATCTTCTGGTAGAGATGTACGGGAAGTGCCGTGCACCAGCCGAGGCACGTCGCGTTTTCGATTCCATCCACAACAGGAATCTCTACTCGTGGAATTTTCTCGTCGGGGCATATGCTCAGAACGGGCATTTGCTCGAGGCCAGAGCAGCGTTCGATCTCATGGGCGAGAGGAACGCCATCTCATGGACGGCCGTGATCAAAGCATACGTGGAATCTGGCCAACTGGAAAATGCTAAGATCCTGTTTGACCAGATGCCCGACCCGGATGTGGTGGTAAGGAATGTCATGATTGCCGCATATGGCGACACCGGGGATCTGGAAGAGTGTCGACGAATCTTCGACAGGATGCCCGAGAGAACGGTAGTGACGTGGAATGCGCTGCTCCAGGCGTACGCGTCCAGCGGCCACGTGGACGAGGCGCGCTGCGTGTTCGACCAGACGCCCGACCAGGACGTGGTGACGTGGAGCGCCATGCTCCAGGCCTACGTGGAGGCTGGCGACGTGGATGGCGCGCGAAAGGTCTTCGGTTCGATGCCCCAGCGCAACGTGGTCGCGTGGACGTCTATGGTACGAGCGTACGGTGCCGCCGGGGATATCCCGGAATCGAGGGCCCTCTTCCACAAGATGCCCGAGTGGGACGTAGTGGCGTGGACGGCTATGGTGGCTGTTCTTGGGCAGGGCGGGCATCTGGAGGAGGCGAGGGCGATGTTTGATTCGCTGCCCCACCAGGACGCGATCGCCTGGAATGCGATGATCGGCTCATACGCACAGTGCGGCCGGATTGCCGAGGCGCGGGATCTCTTCCAGGAATTAGGAATCCTCCGCTGCTCGCACAATCTCGTCACCTCGTCGTGGAATGCGATCATCGCGATGCACGGGCAGGCTGGGCAGATCGAGGAGGCGAAGCGCGCGTTTGATTCCATGCCGGAACACAGCATCGTCTCCTGGAACGCGATTCTTGTTGCATTTGCCCAAGCCAGGGATCTTGGGGCGGTGAAGAGGCTCTTCGATTCAATGCCGGCGCGGGATCCAATCTCCTGGACGGCAATGCTCGCCGCCACCGGCCAGCAGCGCGGCCAGGCGGCACGCGCGCACGAGATATTCAACCAGATCCCTTGCCCGACGGTGGCAGCGTGGAACGCGATCATCTCCGCGCACGGGCAGAGCGGCGAATGGGGCGCCGCCATTGCCCTCTTCCGCGAGATGCTGCTCGCGGGCGCGAGCCCTAACGAGATCACGTTCACGGCAGTGCTCGCGAGCTGCGGCCACGGCGGCGGCCTCGCGGATGGGCGGCACTGCTTCCACTCCATCGCGGCGGATTTCGGGCGGAGGGCGATCGCCGATCACTACTACTGCATGATTGATCTCCTGGGCCGCGCCAAGCAGCTCCGCCACGCTGAGGAGCTCGTCGCCGCCATGCCTTACGTGCCGGATCCAGCGGCCAGGATTGCGCTGCTCAGTGCATCATGCGGTGACGTGGAGCGTGGGGCGCGGGTGGCGGACCACTTGCTCCAGTTTAGCCCCGAGAATGCGGCGTCCTATAACTTGATTTCCAACGCTTTGCAAGGTTCCTCTTAACTAGAATTATTTTCAAGAAAAAGATTATTCTCTTTGGGGCGCTTTAAGATATATCCTACCTTTAAATTTAAAATTGAAATTAATGCTTTAGAAATACTAGGGGGGATCACATAATCCAAAATACCCATTTCTTGGCATATGCCCATGGCATTCCAGCTTACCAGATCATTTTTCTAAAGGTAATTTCTACTTTTATTTGTACCTCACCAAGAAAAAGAGAAAATCAGCATGATTGTTGAGAAAAATCTAAAGAAGGCACAAATCTGAATCTCCAACTGCTTGATTCGCTTGTCCTGTGAAACTCTAACTTAACAGAAGCTCTTTTAGAGGTACTGATAAGGACTTTTGCTAAGTCTAGTGGTAATCTTAGGGCGTTAACCACCTTGCCAGTGCTAATAACACCAAACCAAGGCATGTAAAACTGTTGCTTTGCATCTTGTTATTGCATCAAAGATTAGATATGACTTGTTCTCTGAAGGAATTAAATATACTCTTTCAATCTAATGCCTTGCTTCAATCATGTTCAATCAAACCTGGCATTGTGGTGCCACAGCAACCCAATCCCCACAACCTGCCAGCTGATATATATGTATCGTATTAATTGACTACTACTTTTCCAGCTTGCTCTAGGAGATTTCAAGGGAAACATCAAAGACATGCAGCATGTATCGCTGCCTCCTCTTCCATCCCAACTCCTGCCCAACTCTCTCCAGCTGATCCTGCATCCTGACATTGCCCCCATAACTTCAGTCATCAGTGGAGTCAGACCATCATTTGAATAACTTGAGCTCCTCGGTTCCTCTGATCCTTGAATACAGTAGTCAATGCTGAACTAGATGTATCCAAAAGTGATGATCATCCAATGATCTCTGAGGAGGTAAGGCACACCAAGTGACCTCCAAGTAGCAGCTCGAGCAAAGGGTCTAATTGACCACAGCTTGAAAGGTTTTATTGTTTAAACTAGAAGACACAAGGGGCCAAAGGAGATATGAGCATTCCAACAATGCAAAATTAGTGGTATAGCACGCAACTACCTAGCCCTACTATTCTATATCATTTTAAAATTAAGGCTATTTATAATTATTTGGTATCTAGGGCTTGATCCACTATGCCCATTTTCCAATTGCCTAAGGGGAGAGAGATAGGGTATATAACATATAGTATTGAAGCAAATGACACATTTATTAATTAGTAGCTACTTAAAATATGTCATTGAACTCCTCCTAAAGTCCCATGCCCACAAACATACTTTAAATTAGACATGATCATATTAAAAATAAATAGGTACACCACAAAAGAATTAGCGATCTCATGCATGCACTTCACCAACTTCAAAGCATTAATTAATAGAGTATCATTATTGCCTTTCTTGATAATCTTTTTCATAGTGCCACCAACTTTAATATGTAAAATATTGTGTTCCCAATTGATCTTTGGCTTCTTATTATAAAACCATTATTTCCCAAAAATAACATTTATATGACTAATATCCATAACATAAAATGAAAAATACTATCAAAAGAACACTTAAAGCCCATTCACCACATAAGTGCTATGTTCATCTATTATAACCACATTATAGAGTATTAAACTTTTTTCCATAGGCAAACCAAAATTTCTTACCACCTTGGAGCTATATATAAACTCAAAACTTTGGTTCTTAACCCTTTGCCATAGAATGTGGAAGAGCCATTTGAGTTATATCTATGATGGAGTTCACCACATTCACTTAAGTGTCAACTCAAGGCTAGGTAGGATGAACATAGAACACAAGGTAGGGAGCAAATACCAACCTAGGTAGTTGGTTCTCCTCAAGGGTAGCATTTTTTGACCCTTTTATAAAAAGATAATCTTTGCCTTAATTTATAGTTTTGTGGTAATGAAAATAATTACTTTTTACTTTCTTTTTTTGTCACAAATGTGATTATAGGTATTTAAAGTTATATAGCGAGTCATTTCAAATATTCTTCTTTTATTGCCATGACAATAAAAGATTGATATTGTTAATTCCCTTTTTAGTTCCTCTTGTTCAAATGTTAATGAATTAAATTTAACATTTATACCTAGCCAGATAAATATAAGGTAGAAATTCTTATATGTTTCTTGTTAAACATACTTGGTTTGGTTTTAATTCTCTTTTGCTTTGTTTTATATTTGCTTGACAAGAACTCATAGGTATTAAACTTAATCTCTTAATATTGTCACATGATAGTTTACCATATCTACTAAAACACCCTCGTATGCTAATTTCATTTTAATCCTATGTATTATTTATAATAAGTGTCTAGATTTGCATAAGGGGCATATTTATGGAATGTAGAGAGTGTCTTAATTTGTAATTTAATGGTATTCCACATTTAGTAACAAATTTGTCCCATAGACTAACTCACATGAAATTCCATATTTAGTAAATTTCAAATTTATCCCAGAAACTAACTCTTGGGACTCATTAGGACATGATTTCATATAAGCATTGATTTAGAATTTGTCATGCAATGTATGATCATACATAAAAAAAAAAATAGTACTCAAAATATTATTTTGTGAGTAATACATATATATTATAACAATTTAAGCACATATATGTTTTTTTTCATATATTTTGGAAGTGTGTAAAATTTTTTACCAAACAGCCCACCCCCAAGTACACACCTTAGGGAGGTGTACCTCCCCCCAAAATTGCAATCATAAATTATAAACAAACCGAATAATATTTTATATTTAGACAAAAGTTATAATAACAAAAGTAACAATACAACACTCAATATTGAGCTTGTCGACCTCTTCCAGGTGGAGATCTTTGGATCCAAAGCCGGGCTCACAAGCTTCCAGAGATGGCGAGCTTCTTCAATGCAGGATCCAGGGAAGCGCAAGAAAGAGATGGGCAATCTCTGGGCCACCACCATCACATGGAGAAGAGGGGTAAATCCTTCTCACAGCATGACTTTGTCCCAGGGGTGACAAAGGTCTAATGAAAGAACTAGGCATTCCCAGATGGATTACAAGAAAGACGCCCCACCAAAGGAAGCATTGCATGAAGAAGATGGAAGAACTAGGCGCAAAGTTCTTCCCGGATTGCTGTCGGACACCACCAACGCAACCATCGCCCTCACCACGAGCAAAGCACTGTTTGGAAGATAGGAGAAGCCTTTGTCACGGCGGCGAGCCGGCACTAATGCCGAGCGGGATCCAGCTCGACAGTTCACGTCCACGAATCCACGGCCAAGATGAACAGATCGCACGTTAGTACTTGCTCGATCGGAAGTTTCTAAGTCCAGCAGTTCGCGCGACAGCACTTGCCATCGTAGCAGGATCAATGGCGGGTGGAGGAAGTTTGCGCTGGATCACTCGCTCGAGTGGTGATCTTGCATGGATGTAATCAGGTGATACGAGTTCATATCTAGTTTGTTTTTGGCGATGGATTTCGATGTAAAAAGGACCTATCCAGCCATTCATCGAGGGAAAACATCACAAGGCATCGAGAACTTCGGGACAGAGAAGTTCGCGATACGAGCTTCGAGCTATGGCGGTTGCTCGATCTTGTGGAGCTTGCAAGCCGCGAGCGAGGGATGGAAGGGCATGGAGTTCGATCACACGTGTATCCGGGCTCTACGCTCTGGTCGGCCACCGGTTGATTGGAGACGATTCCACATCTTTGTGTGTCTTTCCCGTCGGTCCCGCGAATGCGCCGCGGGGCTCTTCGAGATTCCCAGATCTGCAGCATATGCCCAGAACGGGCATCGGATCAAGCGCTCGATCTCTTCCGGCAAATGGCAGCTACAGACACACCATACGCACATGTTTTCCTTGTAACTTCTTTAATTCTTGAAAGAAAGTTCTGAATCAGCGTATCACACAGCAACAGGGCTAATAAAGACATCAAACCAGACTGTGTACAAGTCCCCAGGTGTTGTTCAGTGGCCTCCATAAACCACAACCTTGGCATCACTCCCTTCTAAGCTTGAAAGGTAATCCTTGACCCTCTCCCACACCTCATCGTCCTTGACAATAGCATACCCTTTGCTCCTGCAATTCGTGACAGGGATTGAGACCCTCGACTTGAGTTGCTCCTTTTCACCGCCCAGGAAGAAGACGAAAGTGGCATAGTCACAACTCACCGGCTGCTCCAGGGCACTGATTCCAATGTGAAAAAAACCTCCATTCCTTTACTTACTGTGTTCACGCTTCGGCAGCAGATTGGCACTCTCCTGCTGACGCTCTGCAAACGAGAGATGTGCTTGATCTGGGGCAGCACCCCATGAATCTGGTGTTGTGCCACATGCCATGTATAATACCCGCAGAAAAAACTCTCTATCTTCTGCCTACACAGCATCACGCCCACAAAGTCCCTGGGGGGATTCTCTGCAACAAATCTTGTGCAGCTTGACGATGGCGTTTAGAAAGTTCTCCACTATTTGCTCTTCTCCTTGATAGAATCTTCTTCTGGCCGGAGCCAATCTCCAAAGGCACTGTGAAGGGCGAGATGATACGCTGGCCCGGCAGGCGCATGAAGAGCTTGACCGGGTCATGAAGGAACCTCATTAGGTTAGCTTGAGGCTTGACATGCTCTCGAGAGTTTTTCGCCTTCGTCTATCCCTCCCCCCATCAAGTGGTAAAGCGAGGATTATGTTCATTCACGTGACCGAGGCACAAGTGGAAGGTGTGAAAGGTTGATTGTGTAAGGTTCAAGAATTCTATTATTATCATTGTTTATTCTAGGAACTTGGAGAGGACGATGTTTTCTTGGCAACATGAAAAAGAAAGGCACAAAAGCCAATTTCACTGGTTAGTATATTCTAAAGTTACCCTTCTATATAAATACCCTAACTTCTCTTATGTAAAAGAAGCTGCCAATGAAGAAAAGGAAGGGAGAGTTTGTGGATGTGGGGGAGAAGAAGCAAAGAATAAGGGAGTCCTCCTCACAGTTAATGACAATAAATCTGATGAATCACCAGAAGCAAGCGGTAGCCTGGATGCTAGAGCGCGAGTTTAGCACCACAAAAGGTGGTATCCTTGCAGACGATCAGGGCTTGGGCAAAACCCTCTCAGCCATAGCTCTCATCGTCAAGGCGGGACCAAGGTCAAGGGGTACGGGTACCAACGTTAAGGGTGGTACGCTCATCGTTTGCCCGGTAAGTGTGATCCGGCAGTGGGAGCACGAGATCAGAACCAAGGTGGCGGCCAGTGCACCACTCTCCACACTAGTCTACCACGACCAAGGCAAACGCAAGGTGACGCTAGAGAAGCTGGCATCGTACGACGTGGTGATCACCACGTACGGAGTTGTGGCCAAGGAGCGGTGCTTGAACGTCGAAGTATTTGACACCGGTCGTGTAGCTTGGAGGGAGCGCTCCGGTCCACTAGCCAATGTGAAGTGGCATAGGGTGGTGTTGGACGAGGCACAATCCATCCGGAATGCCTACACTGATGTCTCAATGTCTTGCATGCGTCTCTCTGCAACCTACAGATGGGGTCTTTCAGGAACGCCATTCCAAAACAACATCAAGGATCTATATGCCTTCTTTTGCTTTCTTCGAGTCAAGCCCTACTGTAGCGATTGGAGAGCTTTTGACCAGCAGTATGAGGAGTATGAGAAGACAGGCTACTCGGCAGAACTCAAGGTGGCGCTTGAGAGCATTGTGCTGCGGCGGAGCAAGAAATCGATCATTAATGGTGAGCCAGTGCTCCGGCTGCCGCCCAGGCTGGTCAACCGGGTGGAGGTGGAGCTCTCGCAGCAGGAGAGGGAACTCTATGAAAACCTTCGAAAGGAGTACCAGGATAGGATCAGTGAGTACAGGAGCAAAGGGACGTTACACATGAACAGGTTTATCATTTTGAGCATGCTGTTGCGGCTGAGGCAAATGTGTGACCATCCGGCTCTGCTCGACAGTGAACATCTCTTTCGAGTCGACGAAGAAGATGATCTGATCACGGAGGATGGAAGTGGCCTGAAGGAGATGAGAGAGGCCGTCAGGAAGCTCCAGCTGGAGGCCCGGGAGAAGCAAGAGGATTTTGATCGCAGCGTGCAAGAGATTGGCCAGTCTGCAAAGCTGAAAGCCGCATTAAGAGTGCTCGACATGACCCCTCGGGGAGAGAAATCCCTCATCTTCTCGCAGTGGACATCAATGCTCAACCTGATCGAGCCGGAGCTGGAAGGAGCCGGGATCCAGTTCTCCAGGATCGACGGGAGCATGAGTGCGGGAAAACGAGTTGCGGCAATCAAAAGATTTAGTGAGGATCCAGATGTGGTGGTGATGTTGATATCTCTCAGGGCTGGTGGGTGTGGGCTCAACCTGGTGGCCGCGTCTCGTGTGCTTTTAATGGATATGTGGTGGAACCCCACGACTGAAGACCAGGCAATTGACCGGACGCACCGCATTGGTCAAACTCGGCCAGTCCACGTGACCAGGTTTGTGGTCAAACAGACTGTCGAGGAACATGTGTTGGAGATCCAGGAGAAGAAAAAGAAACTGGTAGAATTTGTGTTTGGGGAGAAAAGCTCTGAAGAGCAGAGTTTTAGCATTGATGAACTTGCTTCAATGTTTGAGCTCCAAAACTTGGCTTGACTCAATTTTTTTAAGAATTGCATTCATTAATAGCATATTTGCTTCATTAACTTCATATAATATAAAAACTTATTATCTAAATATAAAAATATTATCTAATATATTGGCCTTATTTATAATACACAATCTACATCAAAAATCATTTAATAAAGAGTATAATCTAAATAAATTGCTGCGTGTTAGTAATTTTTTCTTTACATAAATATTAGTGCTTATTATTTATTAATTAAATTAATCAATTGAAAGTTTATAATTATATACATGTTAATAATTTATAAACACAAGATTAATCTTATTACATATCAACCATTATATTTTAGAATAAAATAGAATATACTAGAAAGTGCTTAGAAAAGTTTAGAAATTATAAAAACAAGATAAATTTAAATAAATAACAACTATTAGATTGTAGAATATTCTAGAATATCCAAGTATATTCTATGTATATCTGACATATTATATCAAATTAAAAAACCTATTAGAGATATTGAAAAGATAATACTTAAGAAAGATATCTCTTACAACATCTAAAATAATTATATTAGTTACCAGTCTTAAAGTAGATTAAACATAGCCAAATTTCAGTAGACAAGGCTCCCTTAAAAAACTACCATTACTTAAGGAATGAATGTAATCCTTCATTTTCAAAAGATATTATTTTTTAAAACTAAGATAAAATCCTACTTTGGGAGGAACATAGATACTCAGACATGGGAAATATTTCATCATGTTAAGAGGATTCTCTTATAAGTCTCCATCACTTTTGCAAGAAACAAAAAAAATAAAATAAATTTCTACTCTATAGTGATTTATCATAGAATGAGCTGATTCGCACAATCCTAAAGTTAAGTATGATTTTTAGGACTTTTTTACTTTGTATTTAGTTCTAAAGTTAAGACAAGTTGTAAGTGACTAAATTTTTCCATTCTACTTTATTCACTTAACTATACCTTCGACCACTTGGAGGAGTCTCACTCACAACCTCCATAAGTCTTATTTTGGACTTGGGCTTACTAGCCCCAAGAATGGCATCCCCGCCATTCAACCTTTGCACTTGGTCCAAGTGTTCCACGTGTCCGATCCCATGACCGACACCCCAAGGTACCACCGTTATATTAGCCCATTACGCTAAGGCCATGCTTATTTGCCTTGGTCACATCGGTGGTCTGACACCACCTACATCCTAGTCCTGTCACTCAAAGACTAGGCCATCCATCCACGAGTGATCATCCCAGATCCACTCCTTAGCATCCTTAGGATGCCCGTAGGCATGGGGATTAACCTTCCCCAATATCTCAATTCCAGTCCCCACCAAGTCCCTTTCCGTCCTTGGCCGTGTTCGCCAACACTGCCACTGGATCAAGGCCCACGGGCCCGACCACTAAATCCCACTGTCCTCTAGGACTTCCTCCTTGTGTGACTGTGTCCTTGGTCACCACACCAGAGGGCTACTCCTTTTCCTTTCCACAGTCTGGGACTTTGGGACGACATTTCGGAACACCATGGCCCTATGCGGGCCTCGTGGGTACTCTCCCTACCTTTCGCCTTTAGGTGCTCTAGCCATGGGCTTAGAGCGAGGTTCCATTGAGCCACACCAGGTATCCAAGTAGGTAGTGCCACCCACACTTGGACTGGGAGCATTGGCCAGATGATCTCCCGGGGGAACTAGAGCCGGCTCTTGAACACTTCATCAAGCTACCTCGATTGTCGGTCCGTGTTCACTCTAGTCTTGGACTTCCCAGTGGTCAGCTCATCACCCAACATTGGGTGTAGCCTCTCTGGGCCAAACTGGCCTTTCCTGGCCAAACTGGCTCCATTGCAGTCCTCCCCCTACTATACTTTTGGAGCTCACCAAACCCCCCAGGGTCTGGGAGACGAACGCTTTGGGCTTTCACCCTCTCAGACTTGGACTCGGACTCGGACTCGGACTCGGACTCGAACTCGGGCTCGGGCTCGGTCTTGGCCTCAGCCTCGGTCTCGGTTGTAAGCCACAAATTTTTCCTTTCCAATTTGCCAGCTTACCTCGTCTATCCGTCCAACACTGCCTTGGCTTTTGCTAAGTTCCCTTGCCAAGGTTCTCGCCTATGGTACCAGCTCCTACTTGGTTTCAGCTACTCACTGCACGAGCAACGGAGTGTTAGCCATCCTTCCACGGATTCCCAAATCACTCCCAATCCCCCTCCCCGGGTTAGACTAGACTTAAGGTTCGGCTACACTCCCCGCAAGCACAAGCAGCCAAGCACACCAAGCTTCCAGGTTCCTAACATCCCTTGGTACCACAAGACTTGATCATGGGACCCTCTAAATCCCAAGTCTTGAGTGCAACACTTGCTTCGGGACGCCGGGGCGAAACACCGTGGCCTAACGGCCCGGTATGGGTACCTCTCGCCCCCCACTTCCATCCCGAAGGAAGGCCCAAGCCCCTAGGAAGGGCGAGGACCAATGAGCCGCATGGTACTCAAGTGGGGCACCACTCCACATGAGCCGGGAGCACCGCAATCGGTTTCCCTTTCGAGAGTGGGAGCTGCTCTTGAGCATTTCCTTGGATGGCCCCTCCGGCACCAGCCAAGTCCATGCTCACTCCCACCCAAGGCCCCTTAGTCCCAGTCCCAACCTCAAGTCGGTTTGGAAGCCCAACTGGAGAGTCCCTTCAAAACTGGTTCCTGGACCTCACTATCCCTACTATACTTTTGGAACCCCCTGCAGCCCCCCCCCCCTGGGGGACGCACGCTTTGGGCTTTCACCCCTTGACCCGTATTAGTATTTGGACTTAGTCTCTGGCTCGATCTCGGATCCGATTTCGGATCCGACTTCGGATTCGGTCTCGGACTCGATCGCGGACTCGATCTCGGACCCGATCTCGGGCCCGACCTCGGACTTGACTTCGGACTCGGTCTCGGACCCGATTTCGGATCTCGGACTCCGTCTCGAACTCGGTCTCGAACTCGGACTCGAACTCGGTCCCCGAGTCGATCTTGGACTCGATTCCGGACTCTATCTCGAACTCGGTCCTAGAGTCGGTCTTGGACTCGATCTTTGACTTGGTCCCATTCGATGAACTCTTTGTCATTTTGGTCATGCTTTCGGGGTTCCCTTAGCCTACGACACCTCGGCGAGTTGGTTCCTTACAACTCCACCACCCATAGAAGAAGTTCGATGCCCACATCGAACGTCTCTTTTTTATCCTACGACTTGTTGACCATGTCTCCGGGGGCATCCCCCCACTTAGCGGTGTGCCTAAGTTAGCCTCCCCGGCCAAGAGCTCATGACAACGGAATATAGGTGTCCCTATACTCCTCCTCTCACCACGCCCTAGTATGGGGTCGGGACTTGAACCCAGCCTTGCTTTACTAGGGGGTTGGGACTCGAACCCAACCTCCGTAGAATACGTCTACGGTTTCGACATCCCCGCAGAGAGTCGGGCGTAGCTCCCTACGCCTGGTCGACCTAGTTAACCCATGCTAATTAGCTTACCTTCGGCGCGCCTTCGGGTCCCAACATATGCCATTGCTCAACTTCTCAAATTGATACTTTTAATTGAACTTTGCATAAGTACATAGAGTTCTGCCATGCAGAAATTCCTCCACTAGATCTCGTGCGTTCGCTAGGTTCTCCTCCGGTTCCCATGTTGCTTCACAGTGTGGAAATCCTTTCCACTTCACATGGAACTCTCTCACCTCGCGTCCTTGTCGCTTGCTCTTGCGCGCATTGAGGATGGCCTCGACTTCGTATTCCTCCTCCCCTTGGATAACCTCAGGTAAAGGTCTTACTTGGTCCTTGCGAAGCGGATCCTCAAAATACGGCTTGAGTAAGTTCACGTGGAACACGGGATGCATCTTCCCCATCTCTCGAGGAAGTCGGAGACGGTAAGTCACTTTACCGATTCGAGCCTCAATCTCGTAAGGCCCCGCGAACCTGCTTAAGGAACTCAAGATCAATTCATTTACAGGAATACATGCATTTTTACCTTTGGGTCAGCTTCCAGCTGATCCCACTTGGTAGCCTGAGGTTCTTGGTGTTCAGCCACACCTTCTCCCCAGCTTGGAACTCCACATCTCGACGCTTTTGGTTCGCGTACTTAGTTTGCCTTTGTTGAGCCCGTTCCAAGGAATCCCTCACTAGATTCCAAATGTTGAGTCTTTCCGCCGTGAATGCCTCCACTGCGGGTAACTCTCCATGATACTCGGCCACGCCGAGTTCCACAGGACCTTCAATAGCTCGCCCATTGATGACTTCCCATGGACTCACCCCGATGCTCGAATGTGGTGAGTTGTTATAACACATTTCCGCAAGTCCCAAATGACTTACCCAGTCGGTCTGGTCTCCCGAGACATAGCATCGCAAATAATCCTCCAGCTGCCTATTCACCCTTTCCGTTTGTCCGTCTGTCAAGAAGTGTTAGTGCCATCAATCTTGACTCAATACCCATTACCTGTCTGTGGGTGATAGGCCGTGCTGAATTTCAACTTGGTGCGATACTGTTCTAGGAGTGTCCTCCAAAACCTACTGGTGAAGATCTTATCTCGATCTGAGATAATCTCTTCCGACCTTCCCCGCACTCGAACCACTTGTTCGAAGAACAGCTTCGCCACACCTTCTGCATCCACATCCGTTGTGGTGGGTATGAAATGTGCCATCTTTGAAAATCGGTCCACCACCACGAATATCGCATCGAACCCCTCGCTTGGGGGTAGTCCCGTGATGAAGTCCATCGTGAGACATTTCCACGGACGATCTGGAATGGGGATGCTTTGCAACAAGCCCCCACTAGCCTTCGTCACGGCTTTGACCTGCTGACATGTTGGACATGTCTTTACATAGTCTTGGACGTCTTTAGCCATATCTGGCCAGTGATACTTCCTTTTGAGTAAGCCCATCGTCTTGGGCACTCCGCCGTGTCCCGCGAGAGGTCCGTCATGACACTCTTCCAAGGCTACTTTCCTTAGTTCCCCTTCTGGAACATACACCCTCGTTTGCTTGTAATATATGAGTCCGTTGCG